CCCGTCCAGTGACCGTCCGATCCTTCTCGAGCTCTGCAGCGGCAGAAACCACAGAGGCAGAGCCCATGTTGCTATGGCCCTGGGAGCGCTTGAGCCAAGGTATGGATGCAATTGAATTTGCATTGATCGTCTTTGCTTGCGAAGTCTATCACAGTGCTGATGCTGCAGATTCATCGGCCTGCTCTATTTCTCTTCTTGTGGCGTCTCCGGGGTCGTGTTGGTCCAACCGGTTGAGAGCACGTCAAGCTCACAGTCCTCGGAGCTGTGCGGAGTGCCACCCTGGATCGATGATGAGCTGGAATAGCTGAGCAGACTTTTGTTGTGCCACCTTGTAGGTTAAATTCAACCTACCTGGATGGATATTCAAGCTTTTTGGATTCGCTTTTGGTTGTGCAAAATCAATGTTGGTTTGTCAACACTGGACCATTGAATGGGGGTGGCAGCGTGGGCAAACAAGATGTCATATCTCATATTTCCCATATTATGTCATATATCCCATATCCCATTCTTTAATTTTTGATTTTTTACAATGTAGTCATCATATGTGTAGCCAAAACAATGGTTGGGAAACCAGTGCAGGCTGTGAAGTCTATGAAAGGTGGGGCTGGGAAGCCCGTCACAGCCATCGCAACTTTTCTTCTGAAGACTACTTTTGAGATGAACTCGTCATGCTCCAAACATCTCCAAACCTATCACGTGCACCGCATGACACTCCAATCATATATAATATCAAAGGTTGATTTCGCACATCAAGGGTTGTTTTTACACCCAAGCACTGGATTTCACACGGCCGCACAGGTTCTGGGCCGTCTTGGTGTTGCCTGAACCTCAGATTTGACTTTTTTTTTGCGTCGATGGCATGTTGATCGAATCCCTTTCCACGCATGGCATGTTGATCGAATCCCCTTCCACGCATGGCATGTTGATTTAGTGTAGGTATTGCATCCCATTCCATGCATTCCATTGATTGAACTCGCCCTGGCCGAAGTGTGGCTGCACAGTCACAGTGCTCGAACTTCCCCTGGGAATGCAGTGCATGACTTCATGTTTTTTTTCATTTGCTGTCATCATGGCTTTCCATGGAACGCAGTGCATGACCCTGGATGGCAACTCGATAGCATTCTATTCTTTTTGACTTGTACATTTGATGCCAATACATTGTAATGGGTCGGTATTCATGACGTGCTGCAATTTTTTCATTGCGTGCTTCAGGTGTCAACGTCAGACAGGTGATCTATGGCCCTGATGGCTGCCCCTACGTCCTTGGCCCTCTCTCCTTGAACTTGGCGAACTCGGCTGATGGCACCACAGGGAACTATGGCACCACTGTGGACTACGGTAGTGACACCAACATGGGTTACTGTGAAGATGATGGCAAAGAAGGTCCTGGCATGGTGAACTTTGGTGATGGCACTGGGGTGAACTATGGCACCATTGTGGGCTACGGTGATGGCACCAACATGGGCGACTGTGGTGATAATGTCACCACAGGTCCTGGCATGGTGAACTTTGGTGATGGCACTGCGGTGCACTATGGCACCATTGTGGACTATGGTGATGGCACCAGCATGGGCGACTGTGGTGATGATGGCACCAAAAGTGCCGGCTATGGTGATGGCACCGCTGCCCTTGGCCCCTACCACATGGAGAATGGTGATGATGGCACCAACGGCAGCCATCATGATGATGAGAAGAGTGATGATGACGATGCGGGATGTGCAGTCGATGCAATCAGATGGGGCTACAACGTGCCCCAGTTGTGTAACGGACTGATTTTATTCAAGCAAGACATTTTTGTAAGCTGTCAATTGTTATTGCTACTTACATTCAATTTCAAGTTCGCTGTTTTTGCGTGATTCATCCCAGCTTGCCAGGATAGTGGGCGCTTGAACTTGACGAAGAAGAAGAAGAAGAAGAAGGAGTCCCGTGAGTCTGAGGTGAACCTCACACTTGCAGGCACCAAGAAGCGCAAAGTCACCATTTGCTTGTCGTGCGAGATAAAGTGAAGTTTTTCAGGTGAGCAGTCCGGGAAGACAAACGAAAGTCACCCGAGATCAAACAAATGTTAAATTTTTTCAGGTGACCCATTCTGACACGTTGAGAGTCTGAGAAGACACTTTTAGAGCAGCCTGGGAAGACCCAACGCAAGAACACGTTGAGGACGCAAGTCACATGATAAAAAAGAGAGCTTTCATCAAAAAACACGTTTTGAGGGCCGCAACTATCCAAAGTCACTTGCACTGAAAACCACAATTCTGGCAATGCACTTTGCAGCATTTGATCAGTTTCAGCTGGTGAGATGTAAAGTTTATGAATGCTGAGGCCTTTCATGCATGGCGCAGACAGGCTGATTGTGCAAGGGGTTTTGGAGTGCCGGTATTTTGAACAGAGAGCGGCTGGCTGACTTATCTTCATTTTCTGTCGCATCAACTTTCAACCATGTGCGTGAGTTCAGACTCAGTCAGGTCAGGTTGCAGGCAAACCTGCTGTCTCTAGATTGTATTTTAGATATTATTTCCCTATGGGATATTTCCTTATGAGACTTCCCAGCTTAAATGCAGCAGGTGCTCGGCAACGCAGGGGGGAGAAGCCGACTTCGTCAGCTGTATCCCCAATTCACCGAAGAGGTGGCGGCAAAGGCTATATGGCCCAACTACCCGAAGATGCAAAGAACCACTTTTGCGCTGAAAGCATCGATGCTCTTAAAAATCTTCAAAGAGAAGGTCTGATGCCGCACGTGCCCGCAAAGAAGAAGCGGCCAGATGAAAAAAAAACAGGACCGTAGGCTTCCAACAGCTTCCCAGAACCGAAATTGCAGGCCTGTGGGAAATGTCCGAAATTTTTGGACGCCTCGGGGAGCTCCTGGGAGTATGTGGGGAAGCGTGGGGGAAGTGTTTGGAAAATTCTGAAAGCTTCTGGGGAGGTTGTAGAAGGTTTGAGGTAGCCAACGGGGGCATCTGGAAGCCTTGGGAAGCCTTTGGGAGCCTCTTGGAAGCTTAGTAAGAGTTTCTGGAAAGTGCCTCACACATCTGGAAGGTTCTGGAAGCGGCTGGGAAGCTTCCAAAGAGCTTTTGGGGGTGCTAAACCCAAGGTTATGCTCAACCCTTGGGGAAGTTTCTGGAATGCTTCTGGGAAGCTTCTGGGCAGCCTTGCTGGGAAGCTTCTAGGAGCTTCTGGGAAGCTTCCTCAAGGGTGCATGGAGCTAGAAACACCCCACATGCTTCCCGGATGTTTTCTCCGTTCCAGAAGCTTTCCAGGCGCTTCTAACCGGGGTTATAGACCCTAAATATACATATGAAGAGAGTGTTCAGGGTTTAGGGTTTTAGGGTTTGAGGGTTTAGGGTTCGTCGTCTGGGAAATACGCAAAGATTGGCCCTGCGCATGTGTTTGAACATGTAGAATGAAAATATTTGAACAGCATTCTAACCTTACGGGCAAACTATAGGGTCTTGCCGTACTGTGATGTCATGTTATGTAATGCAGTGTAATGTTGTGCAATGCAATGTAAGGCAGTGTAATGTAATGTAATGTCATGTAATGGTGTGTAATGTAATGTCATGTAATGTAATGTCATGTAATGTAATGTATATAATGTTATGTAATGTTATGTAATGCAATGTATCAATGTATCTCTATATCTCTGTATCATGCGTCCTACCTTAAATAAATTATTTTTGGGTGGAACATGGTTCTGGAATATTTTCAAAATAGTTTCCATTTTTCCATAATGTTGATGTTAACATCAGCTAGCAAGAATCATAGCAAAATAATTTATGGACCCGTAACCTCCTGGTGAGGCAAAGTTAATTTCCCCTACAGTAGCTGAAGCACCTTGAAATAATTTTAGATTTTTACTGAAGGCACCCCAAAAACAATTTCTCATGTGGACAGGGGAAATTATTTCACAGAGCTCCAATTGTATAGAAAAAATGTATAGAAAATTATTTCATGGAGTGGGGGTGCTTGCATTCCATCAGCAAAATAACTTCAGCATATTTCAACACCAAGACGATAGGACAAGCATGGACAACATGAAAAATCCACAATTGTCAGGATGCTCCAGCAGCAGCACCACCACCCCCACAATGATTTATTTCATGGGGTGGTCTAGTGGTACCCCCATCCCCAAAATATTTTTTGGGGAGAAAGGAGTCGATTCAGATTTCTGTGTCCAAACGTCGATAATAAGTGGTTCAGTAGTGCCACCACACCCAAAATAATTAGGTTCTCGTGGTTTGATTCTTTGAGACAGTTTGGGTCAATTTGGATGAATTTGGTACTTTTGACCTATTCCAGGGGAAGTTGAGTTGTGCCAGGTTAAGTTAATTGGTTTCCTGGGGTGGCCTAGTAGTACCCCCACCCCCAAAATGGGTCGGTTTAGAGATGATTTATTTGATTTGTGGTCTCGCCACCTCCTTTTTTTTTCCCACGCTTGAGCGGCTGCCCTGCCAGGCGGCATCAGACGACAGTAGGTTTTGTTGGTTTTATTGTGGGGTGGCTCTACTGTTTTTTTCAATTATCCATCACCACCTTCCACCACTTCAGAACTGATTAAAAAATATTTTGAAGCAAGGGCGCTGTTTTGAGAGTAATCGTAGAACCACCACGAAAGAATTTATTTCAAGCTTGTTAGAAATTATTTTGAGGGGGGTGGATAGTTTGAAAGAAACATATTTTGGGTGGGTTTTAATGTTTTCGAAAATATTATTTAATTTTGAAGTGTTTCGTAACTACAAGCCCCTCTGATTTTTTTAAAGTTATTTTGAAGGGGCACCTAGTATTTTTGCTTAAGGTGACCCGCATTCTATATCTACATATATCTACATATACATATATATATATATATGTATATATATATGTATATATATATATATGTATATATGTAATGTAATGTAATGTTATGTTTTGTTATGTAATTTAATGTAATGTTTTGTAATGTAATGTAATTATGTATGAATGAATATAAATAAATCAGACCCCCATCCAGATGCCATCTCCAGGAGGCTTCCAGGTGGAGTCCGTCCAACGTGTCACATACCACTGGCGTTCAGAGCTGGGCCTGGCCTCAGACGGCCAGGTGCCGCAGAGGTTGCGCGAGTCGCCACTACCGTGGGACCCGTGGCGCCGGGGAAGAGGTGGGGGCTGGGGGGTTGGGGCTGTTTTGGTGGTCGAAACATGTGGAAACTCTGTCATTTTTTTCGGATATGTCCGATTTTTTTCGGTGTTGCAATCCATGTCTCTAGTGTTTTGAGGTTGACATTCCAGACCCTTTTCGTATTTTGTTTTTCGCGCCTGAAACTCCATTTTTTTTGTTTGTTGCTTGTGTACTAGTGGATTTTTCCACAATGCGCAAGGTTTCCAGAGGATGCAAGTGATGAAATCCTTTTGGGAAGTATCCCCAATCGTTTGACCGTGAAAAAATGCGTGTGTACAATATCCCTCTATTTTCCTCAAAACGACATCATGAGGTCAAATCCCTCAGTGTTGCTTGGTCCACCTCCTCAAACTGGGGAAATCTCAGTTTTTGCTACTTAGATCCATGCTACCTTTCGTTGGCAAATTCATCATGTTGCTTGAATCACTAATTATTTAACACTATTTCGTTGGAACGTCGTCATTTTTGCTGTTGAAAAAATCTGCGTTTTTTATCCTAAAACCCCGCCATTGTGCATTATGTATATATATATATATAAATATATATATATATATACAGACAGTATGTGTATATTGCATCTCTTTCTGATGAATTCTTTAGTCCCATCAGCCGCACAAACTCCTAAATTCTTCGTGAGTCTCATAAGTCCTTTTTTTGCCTGGCAAAAACTCAGTTGTTCTTGGTTGAATTTTGGCTTCTCTGTTGATCAAAACCACACAATTTTTGCTAGTGACATTGACATCCCAAACTTTTTGGCTGGATCCTTCAGCTTTTGCTGATTAAACACTTTCTTTCTGGCAAAATTGTAGCTTTTTGATAGTTTTTTCGGTAGCATCTTAGTGTGCTGGTTGTCAAGCCAACTTTTTTCTGCTGGTGAAATCAAATTGTTGGTTGGTTCAATCCAATTTTTTTGCTGGCTACTGATGAAATCATAGCTTGTGTTGATCAATTGCCCATGAATGTCCGTCCAAATCTTGTTGTCTCTGGTGAAATCATAGTTTACCATAGTTCATCTTGATTCTTCCATCGGTTTTTTACCATTTTCCGAGGTTTTCCCCTAGGTGTTCATATTTTCATCCATCCAATCCCAGAAAATCGGCTCAGGACTGGCTCTTCCTCCTTCACAAGGCCCCTCTGCCATCCCGGGACGCGCCGGCCGCGGCGATGGCCGCGCTGCTTCCAACGGCGCTCCGGGAGGCGCGGAGCGAGTCGGAGGGCCGGCTGCCGACGCTGCTGAGACCCAAGAAGGAAGAGAACGGTGCAAGAATGCCACTTGGGATCAAAAAATGGAACAAGTCTAAGATTTTAGGGATTATAGTGATTTGATGAGTAATATATATATATACATATCATGAATTTCACCCAAGAAAACGATCTAAGTCCCATTCGGGCTTGAAAAAAGATGGAGATTTGGACTGAAAAATGGAACAATTCTTCATGTAGATAGATTAGATTAGATGAGATGAGATGATATGAGATGATATGATTAGATTAGATCAGATTAGATGGATAGACAGATAGACAGACAAGATAAGATACGGTAAGAAAAAATAACATAAGAGAAGATTAAACAATTTAAGATAGAACATATAAGATAAGTGTATAAGATAAGTGTATAAGACAAGATAAGATAAGATAGATAAGATAGATAAGATAGATAAGATAGATGATATAGATAAGATATATGAGATAGATAAGATAGGTAAGATAAATGGATGGATAGACAGACACATCGATAGATAGATTAGATAGATTAGATAGATTAGATCGATTAGATCGATAAGATAGATTAGATAGATTAGATCGATTAGATAGATAGAAAAACATAGTTAAGATCGATGATATAAATAGATAGGTAGATAGGTAAATGGATAGGTAGATAGGTAAATAGATAGGTAGATAGGTAGATAGGTAGATAGGTAGAAAAATGGATAGATACGATAGTGCGATAGTACGATAGTACGATAGTACGATAGATAGATAGATAGATAGACAGATGGATTAACGGATAGATTAAAAGATAGATGGATAGATGGAAAGATGGATAGAAAGACAGATAGATAGATAGGTAGATAGGTAGGCAGATAGGTAGAAAAAAACAGATAAGATCGATGAGATAGATAGGTAGATAGATAGCTAGGTATAGGTAGATAGGTAGATGGGTAGATAGAGAGATATATGGATAGATAAGATAGATAAGACGTATAATATAGATAAGATAGATAAGATAGCTGTGATAGATAAGATAAATAGGAAAGATAAGATAGATAAGAACAATAGATAGATAAATTAGATTAGGTTAGGTTAGATTAGATAGATTAGATATATTAGATAGATTAGATAGATTAGATAGATAGATATATTAGATATTTGAGATAGATATATTAGATATTTGAGATCAGATAGATAAGATAGATAAGATAGATAAGATAGATACGATAGATAAGATAGATAAGATAGACAGGATAGATAGAATAGATAGGAAAGGTTGGATAGATAGGATAGATAGGATGGATAGGATAACGAGGATAGATAGGAAAGATAGGGTTGATAAGATAGATAGAACAGTAGGATAGATAGGATAAATAGGATAGGATAGACAGGATAGGATAGATAGAATAGGACAGGATAGGAGCGGAGAGGAGAGGATAGGATAGATAGATACATACGTATGCATATACATATACATATACATACACGTACATATATTATTTTTGGATTATAGATGATTATAGCGAAAAAATAGTTATATATATATATCATGAGTCTCACCCACGAAAATTATCTAAGTCCCACTCGGGCTTGAAAAAATGGAAATTTAGACGTGTAAAAACAAGAGCTTTGTTTTATATAACATTGTTCAATCAACAAAAAATGAGATAATATGGATTTAAACTATCAAACATGTTCACTTGGCAAACAAAACTTGGATTTATCAGCAAATATGGAGATTTGACCTCCAAACGAAATAATGGGGATTTTATTGGGTAATAGGCGGATTTTGGGATAACACATACACTAAAACACTGATAAATTACCACCAATAACTAGGGTGATTTTACCATCGGAAAAAAAAAAACGTACATAGCAAGAAACGTCACTTGGTTTGAACAAACTTGGATTTGACTCAGAAGAAATGATGCATTTGACCCATCAAAGAGTTGCACTTGTTTTTTTTGAATTTTTTGGATTTCATCGAAAATAGACACCGGAAACCATGGAAGTTCAAAGCATCGAACCAAAAATCCCTTCGTCCGGTGGCAGCCGTGGATTTAAAGAGATTGAAATCATCAAACGTCCGTTGGTCCGTTGGACAAGCGACAGCACGCACGATTTTTTCAGGCTATGGTAATTTGTCTCGCTAGTTTGAAGTTTGGGTGCTGATTAGAAGAAACTGATCCCCCCACCAAGCGGGCAACCCGATCCAACTATAGGTAGATATATCATGATGTATCCACCAGAAACATCCAATTCAGCCATGGCCCATTGATGTTTGCCAATTTCCCTGTCGTTTGGGCCCTCCTTTTTGGGCCTGGTTTTGTCATGGGGTGGTTGAGCTCCAATGGCGATCCCAACTACGGAGGTTGGTTCACCCCAGTAAGTGGGTTAACCCTACTTCTCCCACTTGCAGGGCTGAACTAACACACTTGCTAACTTTAAATGAAATCCAGTGTAATCCCATCTAAATCCAGAAAAACATCCCCATAGAATTCTCATGTTCCCCGCATTAAAAAGTGGTTATCCCCCGTTTTCATCGCCAAGGACCGATAGCCAGAGACTTGGCTCTGGAGGTCATCGAAGGGCTGGTGGGAGACACCTATATATATATATATACATGTCTATATATATATATATACACACATATATATATATATATATATATGGGTTTCCATAAATGAGGGTACCCCACAATAGATGGTTTATAATGGAACATGCATATTTATCAATGGATGATTTGGGGTACCCCCATTTCAGGAGATGCCCAATGACCTGAATCTTTGGATTTTGAGTGTGATAAGGATCCCCAAGTTGGCTTAAAGAGTTTGGGGGTTTGCATAGGGATTTCGCATAGTGGTCTTTTTCTGTGGATTTCCTACGAGTAACCCGTTGGTGCCGTATACTAACGTCGTTATGGACAAGCATCATTTTAATGGGCAAACCCACTATAAACGAGATTTTCTATAGCTATGTTAGTCTACCAGAGGGTAAACACAATTTACTTGCAAATCCTTCGGTTCACCTCTGATCCACCCAGGAAGGCTTTGTTTTCGACGAATCGACCGTCCACCGTGTCACCCTTGTGACTCCAAACTCGGAGTTGAGTAGTTCAGACTTGGACCAAAGTGTGACAGTGGAGGGACATCCAATGTAAACCCTTGAATTCAACAAAAAAACATGGTTTAAAAGTTTAACAGGTTGCTGATGGATATTTGATTTGAGTAGACTTTCTTCGAGACCTGTTTCGCTTTTTTCTGCTATCGAATCAACCGGCACTGCTGAAAATCCAAAGACTTGGATGGTTTTGTTGGACCAATTGGTCGTACCTGGCCGTGGTGACTGGGAATTATCATAGCGTGGGAATGGGAATCCAGGAATCCATCTATTGAATTAACCAGTTATGTTATATTATGTTATGTTCTGTTAAATCTGCTTTTCATCCACCTGATTTGCAGGGACGAACAAGGATTCCTTCTCAGCCAGCCAGTATGTTTGAGGATAACAAGCTGACGAGCAGTCGATTATCGATGCTCTTCCACCCCAAGTCTGCTTTGCTTTGACAGCGTCCACGCCAAAGAGAATTGCTTGGAAACGCTCGGAGAAAGAGGGGTGGAGTGGTGTGTGTGTGTGTGCGTGTGCGTGTGTGTGTCAGTAACTTGGTAGGAAGTGGGGCATACATCCCCTGATCATTGTTTTTTTCACCACCCAACAATGGTATGGAAACTGGCAAAAATTGTGATTTAAGCGCCAAAAAACCTGGGATTGTCAGTGTTTTTAAACCAAGTTGCAGCGAAACAAACTTCCAGCATGTATTCGGATACATCAAAGCTTTCTTTGTACTTATATATGTATTCATGCAAAGCTTTTGAGGTTCAAAGTTTGAGGAATTTTGAGCTCTGGATTCAGAATCCTTCAACAACATGATGGGTTTCATGCTTCAACCACAGAATCAAGAGAGAATAGACATGATACTTAAATTGTAGGTTAACATTTGGCACACCAATACACCCCACAAAAAGCTTCTTATACTTAATTTAGGGGGGTTACTAATCCATCTGGGACATTGGCGTACTTGATTCAGAGACCGTGTGCAATCCGATGTCAACATCACCAACAGAAAGATTGAGAAAAAGTGGGTCCCCGACTTGAGCCAATCCCAAATTATACTCAGTAGATGGTGACGTTTTTTTTTTTTGTTCGATTCGCAAAAAACATGGCGTTTGTTAGAAATATCGCAGACATATCCTTTCTGTGTAATTCGAACACATGTGATCTGGATGTTTCCGGAAGTTTGTGCAGTTGCTATCATAGCCGGGCAATGTCAGATATTTGTCAGTCCATCAAATGCACCCAGCTTAATTCAATTCCTTTTCTGACTTGTCTTTTCCAGTTGCCAACTACCGGAGAACCTTAGGTAAGATTAGGACTGTGCCCTCTGATCAGGCAGCAAATGAGTAGGAAGTGGGTTATAAGATAAGCCTCCCAACAATTGGAATATCATGGGATTATACCCCAGGGAAATTGTCAAGTCTATCCGTGCAGCTATATATACATATATACATATGTATATATACATATATACATATGTATATATACATATATATATGCAGCATTGATCAATATTACTGTATATATATACATACACATATGTTCAATTCAAATTCAAATACAGCACTTGTACCAGGGCTAGACAGGGTCAATTACTTAGTAGTACTTCTCGCTGACATTTGCAGAATCATCTGTCCAACTTGGCTTGGTTAGTCAAACCCTGGCCCAGGAGAAATGGAAGATCACAGCAAAGTGAATTGTGAAGTTGATGAGCATAATTATATATTATTACTATTATGTATTACTATTACTGTTGTTGCTGTTGTTGCTGTTGTTGTTGTTACTATTATTACTATGATTATCATCTGATCATTCTTTCTCTCTGAATTCTTAGGGCTGCAGTGGCATCCCGTGGCATCCTGTGGGGGTGAAAGCCTCTGAAGGCCGAAAAAATGGTTCTCAATTACCCTCTGGTTATGTCAAAATAGCTATTGAGGCTATCAAAATAGTGGATTTACCCAGTTATAAAATGGTGGTTTTCCATAGTGATGTAAACGTTTACCAGAGGGTATACAAGATTCTATGAATAAATGGGTATACGGTATTGTTGGTAAAAAATATCCCTGGTTTCCTGTGTTGCAAAACAGGAAACCAATTCTTTCATACCACCCGACCATAGATCTTTCCTGGGAAAATCGTGGGAAACCCATATGATTTTCCCTTCAACCACTTGCAATGACAAACCTAGAACTATGGGTGGGAAAATACTAGCTGTTTTTGGCCAACTGCTAAAATACCAAAGGGCAAAGACTCTCCATTTATGGATGATTTTCCCGGAAAAGACATCCATTTCGTTCAGCCAGCTGTTTGATGGGAGGAATTTCCCTTTCTGCCTGGTCAAACATCATCAAACATTGGCGAACACCCTATAGAAATGGAGGAATTTTCCGTGGTTTAAGTTCGCGATCATCGAACTCTTAGAGGCATGGACCTGGCTGGCGTGCGCCCCGTGGACGAAGGCCGTTTCGAGGCCGAGGTCGCGTGCGTTTCGGGATCGTTGCGGGAACGGGAGTTGAGCATCCTTGGAATGATTGGGGGGTCCTTGGAATCGTTGGGTTTCAAGAAATTTTTGGTCTCCCTCTATTTCGAGACGAATGTTACAACAATCTCTTAATCCAGTATTATCATGTATTGTCATGTATTATCCTATCCAAGTTCAAATGCATGGTATTATCCTATCCTATCCTATCCATTCCTATCCTATCCTATCCTATTATCCTATCCAAGTTCAAATACAAAAAAATCATCTGAAATCTGAAAAATCTTCGTAAATCAGCCACAGATGTTCATCCAGGGGCCCAGGGATCTCATGGCTGGGATTTTTCGACCCAAATAACCAGCCAGGCCCATAGGGAAAAACATATGATTCACCGGATGGAATGGGGCAGAATTTGATGTTCATAGAGAATATAGAGATCATCCGATTTCACAAACGCGTAAGCTAGAACCATTCTATGGCGGCAACTATCTAATGATCATCAAGAATCAAGTATCCTGCTTTGCAATTCATTTTCTTGCATGCATTCCATTTCTCTCTGTTGTTTTAGTTTTTATTGTTATCCATAATATATACGGTAACAACATTTAAATACGTGGAGGGCGGGCCAGACCGCAAGGCCACGGAGGTAGTATGAAATACCAGTTCGTATATTTAAATGTTGCAGTATGTTTAAATGAATTGGATTCCGTATGTTTAAATGGCTGGGCGGGCCAAGGAAAACCTTCCCGGAGGTAGTCTAAAATACCTGTTCGTATATTTAAAAATCCGTATATTTAAATGTAGTTACCGTATATATATATATATAGACATAGATACATGACGTACAATGTTTGTACATATACTATGACATATATATATATATGTATACATATATATGTATTGACAGCCAATGCACTGCATGTGTAGACAGATCATATAAGTATGTTTATCATAGTAGCTATCAAAAAAAGGAACATACCACAATGAAAAACACGTCCCTGGATCAAAGGAAAAAAAACGTAATGCATGCGTGAATGGAATGACCAACCAAAAAATGCTCTAAAGCACAAACACCTATCAACAACATAACAGGACCAGACAACGACACAACAAAAAATACAACCAAGATCGATAATAAAGAAAATAAAGCCTCACATGAGACCAGCCAAATAAGAGGAAATGAACATCATTTGACACCCTTCCCAGTCTTGCCCTGCCAGGTGTCGGCGAAAGATCTGCATAATCTGGAGCCAAAGAACGTCTTCCTTAAGGCTTTGGCCAGTGGCCTGGCACTGGGAGAATGAGGATATGAACCATGATGGGGGCTTAAAATTCACCTGTCATTAAGCTCTATAGGGCTTGCATCATGTCATAAAAGCATATGTATGTATATATATATATATATATATATCATGCCTCCAGTGTGAAATACCGGATCGAAAAAAAAAACAGGGCTAGTCAGTCGATTCGGGGCCAGTTTTATTCATATTTCAACAAAGATAGGGGATAGACCCAACATGCCAACCAAAAAAAAAGTCTATACTGGCATCAACCATCATTCTATATCTAGACAAGTAGTTTTTGGATTTACCCATCATGCAACCCATGGTGCTGGAAGATAGCAAGCAACATTTGCCATGGATCCAAGCATCAAATCCTGGGTTTCAACAATGGGGCGGCTGTTTTTTGTCACAAATGGATGGGGATTTAACATGAATTAGAAAACTCAGCATCAATAATAGAATGGGGATGAATATTTACTGTAACATGATTGTATATAGAATGGGGATTTAACAAACATGTTTTTTCAGCATCAACAATGGTGAGATTTGATATAGAATCATGGCAAGAGTTCATTTTTGTTGCTGATTAGTGAGGTGTAACCACCTCTTGACGTTTCCAAACCAACCCCAAATCATCTGGGTCAAGCTGACTTTTGTTGGTATCGAAACAACCATGGGTTTAGGGTATATTTGGGTATAGACATTTGTTCAGAAACACTGAAACACCCACACAATCCCATAATATCCCATATATGCATATATATATACATACATTTTTGTGTGTATGTGTGTATATAGGTCATGTATTTTCAAACGTGTGTACTAATTATGTGCAATATTGCATAACAGTTTAACAGTGTATGATCTACACATCACCCGCATATGCCCAATGTGGAGTTGCAGTTTTGCAAGAACCACCAGCATTTACAGCCAACAAGGGCCCTGAAAAGAGAATCGTAGACAAACAATTTAATGTATCGAACCAACATAGTGTATGTTGGACAGGTTTTTCATGAAACAATTGTTCAAAACACACAAAAAAGAAATCGGGTGAACCAACAGAGAATATGATTGAATTAAACCCAATGATTTACATCATTCGCAGTTGGGGTTTTAATATCCAGTGTATGATTGGTGATGATGGTTTTTTGGACTTCCCCAAGTGGTTGAACCCACAGAAATGAGGCGATGTTGCGATGTTGCAACTGGGTCATATTCTACTCACAAGCTCGAGTTGTAGAACTCACAATATGGGGTTTGTCTGAAAATGTATGAAAATGTTGGTAAAACTCCAATTTATCCACTGAATCATCGTTTTCTGACAAAATTGGCCACTTTGAAAGATGGGTAGCCATAGCAACCACCGGAAAAAACCACCGTGTCCCATGTCCAGACACGGCCCAATTTACGGCCTAAGGCTGTCACACCGTGTCCACCATGCGAGATGGCTCCTTTGTGGGAAATCAGGCTGCGCAGCTCGACGAGCCGCGACGAGACTGGGAGAATCAGAACAACGCTTCCACCTGGTTCCACTGTTTTGAACAGGCTGGCACAATATATATATACACTTAATTTATAATGATATATATATATGTATATATATACATGTTATATGTTATATGTTATATGACTTGTCTAGATGTTTATAATGATATGTATATATATATACACATGTTATATGTTATATGACTTGTCTAGATGGGACATGACTGTTTGTGTCTTACATCACCATATCTGGCAGTTTTTTGTAAGATCATTCCACTGTTCTTGGTCAGTGAATATCCCCACCTGTGACAGTGATTGTCACCTGGTGTCACCTCATTAGCATGATCAGGGACCAAACATGATTCGCAACACCTAAGTAAGTATATAGTCATGTTTAACAAGTATATGATTAGTATTTAGTCATGTTAAACAACTATATAGTCATGTTAAACATGACTCCTCAACTGTTTAACAAAACTAAATGTAGCTCTGCAAGTGGCTTCGCAGTTGGATAGTTCGCCTCAAGACCCTTAAAAGCCTTTCAGTAACCCAGCATGTGACCTACCAATACCTACCAATCGTTCTAGTGCTAAAACCATATCAAATAAGTAAAGAAGTATAACGATTGGTAGCATAAGTAATATTGAATACAAACGAATATGGCATATTTGCAAAGCATAAGTTTTTAGCGAGTTCCCGGTATCCGTCATTGGCCGGGTTCCATTTTCCATGGATGAAAGTTATTGGTCGCCATTTCCAATTGGCCATTTCACATTTTCGAAAGCATCTAATCTAGTAAAGCCAAGAAGAACACCCAGTCCTGCAACCCTGCCATTTTGGTTGGTGAAAGGTCCTATGTTATGGAAAATCATGTTAAAATCAGTAAAACATATCATTTCTCACCATTGCTGGGCCATAGTATGGAATCTATAGAATCTATACCACAGCTCTATATCCCCTAGGATCCATGTATGCTATATATGGTAACATTTACCATCAATATACCCCCAATGTTAGTATATATACCATACATGGATCCTATGGGTATTGGTTTACTGGTTTACTGCTGATTTTCGTCCATTTTCCGCGCGGCGGGAGGTGGAAATCGTGACCGTGAAGGCCCTCCAGTGGCGCCTTTCAGCCCCCGGCCAAGCGCGGGTCATCGCCTCCCCTGACGGCCAGACGCAGCTGGTGATTCGACGAAGATTCGTCCGAGTGGAGCTGGGAAATCTCTGCGAAAAACAGCAGAAATATAGAGACCTAACATGACCTAAGCGTTATGTCAATTATGATAAATTTGATTATTGGGGTTAAGAAAAAATGGGGATACGATACCAACATATACCAACCATATTCTGGGCAATTTAGCTTGATCCGGATACTTCGGTTGATTGGTTGTGAAATGGTGGGTTGTGAACCTACCTGGTTTATGGGGGATCACTAACTGACCCATCATGGGAATCCTATATTATGGTGGCACCCCTAAAAGCGGAAATTGAACACAATGCATTCCAAGCATTGCCAAAATCTGTGGTTCTTAGACCTTGATTTTTGACCTATACCCAAAGGTGAATTCTCTTCGAAAAAACAGAGTAGGACAAAGCATTTGCCTGCCAGAGAACTGCTGATGTTTTTGGCACCTTCTTCCAATATGTGTCATGGTCAAAACATACGGTGGATAGAAGAATTCCTGCACCAGTTGATAGATGGGTTTATCCCATTATTTTGTTCGGTTTTCAATCATCCAAGGCGGTGCGGGTTTCTTCCATCCACAGTGATGTGATGTGATATGGTCATCCATACCATGGGAATCCTTGCTCAATGGGCTCAATGGGCATGCAAATCCCTAGTGGATTGATGGCATGGATCCGGTAGTACATGATAGTACCAGACCAACCCGAGTTGAACTCTGCTTGAAGTTGCTGTAGACAATTTGAGGTTCATAGTTCCAAGTGGAATCAGAAAGTGACGATGTGGCAAGAAATTACAGTTTCCCTATTCTCATGATATTCCCCATCAAAATTTCTCTAGTCCACATCAAGACGTCTTTTCCAAGTGCGACGAAATCGTCAAGACTGACCCACGAGAACTCAATGGCTTCTCACTTCTCCCAGTGACTCTCCGAACCCCCCGAACCCGGCCCAGGAAGTGTTGAGACAACTTGAGTTTGACCACCACCGCATGACCAGCGGCGCCTTAGTTCGCTGTAAAGAGACTCAACGCGCCTGGACCAAGATCTGAGGCGAGAAATGAAGGGTGATGAAGCACCAGAAACTGATCTAGCCCGAGGTTTAGTGGGGATAAGGGTTTCCCATAGGAATTTAGAACGGTTTTCCATGGGATTTCCTGGAATTTACTCTCGGCAATTTCGCGTTTTGCTACGGAAATTTCATCATTTAGATGGGGTAAAGCGCGGGAAATGATGGGGATATTAAATATTAGATGGATTGCGGTGATATAATTGGACACACCGAAAAATGATGGCTTAGCGAAGTGGATAGGTTATGCTTTTAACCTGTTTTAAGCTGTTTTCAGCCCCAAAAATGGAGTTTCATCAACAACCTATTGAGAATTCACCAAGATACATGGGGATGCAGCTGATACATGCTGATACAACTGGGTCAACCACATGTTTCGGTCCTCGGTTCCGAACGTGCGACTGAATAATGGGGATATGCAACAACCACTTTTTGCTGCAGGTATCCAAGATTGGCCATGCAATGTGCAATAGTGTAATATAGTGAATCATGATATGGGGATAGTGAGCAAGCCACAGTTTTAAGATTGAACTGTACTTCCTGGTGTTGAACAAAAAATGGGACATACCCTCTGGTAATTTAACATAGCTATTGAAAATGGCCATTTGTACTGGATTTTCCCATTAAAAATGGTGATTTTCCATAGCTATGTTAAATTACCTGAGGGTACTGTAAGAGTGTTTAAGATGTACCTGATGATTTATTTCGTGAATGATTTCATCGGCTGCCTGCGTCGCATCAATTTTTTGAGTATTCACTGAGGGTGACTCTAGTGGGAAAGTTTGTACACAAATTGTTCAGCAAAAAAAACATATCAAAATTAATGTCCATAACCGTTCCAGTTGAACAGTTGCAGTTCAAGCAAATTACTCACTAGCTATGACTCGAAAATGCAGGTCTAACCAGCAAGAATTGTGATCATGTATGATTTATTATGACATTTGATTGGTGTTTGCAATATAATTTAATGGGGATTTCTTAAGTAATGGGGGATCCCCAGTCGTCACCATAGGTTTCAATACGAAGTCATAGTCATCCATGACGACTGGATGATTTGGAGGTACCTCCATGTTAGGAAACCTCAATATCATGCGGATTGTCAGCTGGTGATGGGCCACGGAGTTTGTGTTTGCTAATGTGGAAGCCGCCAGCTGCAGATTGAGTCCAAACAAACCATGCTATTCGAGAGTCAAGTGACCCATACCTACCATTATTAACGGTTATAGTAATCCCAGGAAAGGTGTCTTCATTACTATTGAAGTGAGATTTTTACATATTTTTACCAACTTCTACCTTTTTGGGATTAGTAATGTGTAGTAATGTACTATCACTATCTGTAAGCCGCAAAACAAATCATGCAAGCACATAACCCGATTTCATTGTCACAGAGCTTTGAGAGGGACCCTGACCGGCCGATCTTTTAGGCCCCTAGGCATTGCTCTGGAGCCGAACATGCTGTGGACTCGGAGCCTTTTTCGATCTCATTTGGCTGTGGGCAGTGATATGAGCTTGGCATAGCTTGGCACAATTACCCTCTGCTTATGACTAACGGTTTGCCATGGTATAGATGGCCCATAGAAATGGATGGTTTACCTATTAAACATGGTGATTTTCCATGGCAAACTGTTAAATTACCAGAGGGTACAGCTTATTGATGCTGATTGGGGTTCATTCTTCCAAGGTTACTCTGCTGAGCTTCGAAAAGAATTGGAGCTATCGGAAGAGTAGAGGCACCTACAAGGTCATCTCGATTTCTCGAGGATCTGAAGCTCCCTTTCTGGACGTGGACATTCGTCAGTGTTCGAAGTGGAGCTCACCTTATGATAGATTTTTCTTCCCATGACATCGCATGAGCTTTTGTCAAAGAATGTGAGAGATAAATTGAAAGTATTCCAATTATATAGACCATTTCCCTCCGGTGTCATCAAACGTGGCAGTGGAAAATCACGAAAATCTGGTTGGCGGTTTCAGACATGTTTTTTTTTTTATGATTTTCCATTTCATATATGGGATGTCGTCCTTCCCATTGACTTTCACTCCATCATTTTTCAAGATGGTGAAATTGCACCACCAACCAGTATAATATAGGGATTAATAATGATAAATATGGGGGATTAATATGATAAATGATGATTTTCAAGATGGTTATTGCACCACCAACCAGTCATTTATAGATGATGTTTCCAATAAAACCTCCATGTTTTTATGGGGGATTTCCCACTGCCAGGTGACTGAAAAAATGCCGTAGGTATCCGTAGGTCGATTGACCAAAGAAGTCCTGATTCCGGGTCCCCAACATGACCCAACATGACCCAACTCGCAGAAAGCGAGGCCAGGAAGGCCACGAATCGTTGTTGATCTTTTGGGATCATTGCCCAATCGAAGATAGCCATAGCTATGGAAGCCCATGGTCCTTTCAGTTCGATGATTGACCTATTTTTTTAGGGTGGTTTTGCATAGCTATGTTAAAGGATGGTGCGCTCCCTTTGGGTTACTGTATGTTTTATTCTCCGTGTTTTTGCTTTTTCTCAACTCCGCAAAACACGGCGCCGCCCTGAGGTGTTTTAGCATTCTTCAAAGGGGCCTACGACAAGATCTCACAGAGTTTCGGCCGCAAAGCCTAGTGCCAAGTATGAGGATCATCGAACAGAACAACAGAACCATCATTTTCTTCGTGTAAATCACCTCATCTCTACGTTCATCAAGTCTGATTTTTTTGTCTGATTTTAATTGATTTTAGGGGTACTCTAATGTCCAATGGTTTAAAACAAATTAGAACATGTTTTTCCTAACATCATTCTTGCGGTTTCACCACATGAAAGGGTGCTTTTTCATCAGCATTTTCCTTGGGATCCATCTCGCCCCGAGTTTTTTGGTGAAAGCGTTGTTGGAAGTGACACGACACTAAAATGAAATCATGGAATGTCCCAGCGCGTTTTCCCATCTTAATATATTTCATTTTTTATTGAATCAACAGTAGGAAAATCATATTAAGTATTACCATCTGGTTATTTAACAGTTTGCCATGGAAAATCACCATGCTATTCATAGGTAAACCATCTATTTCTATGGGCCATCTATTTTCCATGGCAAACCGTTAGTCATAACCAGAGGGTAAGAATGAATTGGAGATTATCCCATTGTCCCGAATTATTGTATTCTTATCCCATGATTTTCATCTTATTTTCACAGTACACTCACTTACTGGTGCGTTTTACGCAGGGAATGGATGGGTTGCTGGGGGTTGCTGGGATGATTATTGATAATTCGCCAATGGATCATTCCCGAAAATTCCCTGCGTACAACGCACCAGTAAGAATTTTCAGACAACCCCGGCGGCAGCCCCTCTGATCGCCTCTGTGTCATCTCCAAGGATAGCAGATCCATCCAGTGTGCCTGCGGACTACAAAGATCTGTGCCCGCTGGCCCGGTTATGTTTTCAACCAAGGTTTCGAGCCATTTTTTCCCCCAAAAAACACAGAAAATCCTTCCACAGTGGGATGTGTTTCTTTTTATCAGTGAGGATGTTCCCTGAAATTGAGGCCTGAAAAATAGGCCAAACATATATGGTACCTACCTCCAATAAATCGGTTCCTGAATTGGCGATTATATACCAATGATTAACCATCATTAACCACTATGAACCACTATCAACCACTATTAACCACTATTAACCTTTTACTTTTTTCATCTTTCTGTTGCCCAAAAAATATATGGGAATCTTCGGATTCAACAAGGGGAAAACAGACAAATCTATGGTTAATCTATGGTTAGGATGAGGGGAATCATCCCCTTTTATGGCCAAAAAAAAAAATCAGGTTAGTGAATTATGATTTCATTTACCCAGATAGATCATGGAGGGTGTTTCTGATCTCATGTTCCATTCATAACTGCTTGGCGGTGACTGGAACATGGCTGGATGATGACTTTCCAGAAACATTTGGGAATGGAAAATCATCCCAACAGACGAACTCATATTTTTCAGAGGGGTAGGTATACCACCAACCAGTGTTCCATTAATAACCATGATTATAAGTTATACCAATGATTGGAAACCATGATATCCCCATTGTGGTATTTTTCTTTGTCACATTTCTTGGTATCCCCATGATAGCCCATGATAGTGTCATTCTTGATTTCCCTTCCCAGTCACATTGGAGCAACCGTTCTTCGTGTTCTCAGGTGAGTCATACGCATCGCAATGCTACTACGTCTTAGCGATGTATCTCAGTCGCAGATGGCGCACTGTACGACCACTACAGAGACAAGTGCAGAGAGGTCCCGATCCATATTCTATGCATTTGCATATTTACATATTCATATTTACCTACATGTGCCCTAGACATAATTCATGTTGGCACCTATTTTCACAAATGATACCTTCATGCTTGCCATATCAGGTTCTAATTTTGAACACTTGCACTCCGAAGCAAAACTGGGTCTAGTTTCCTCTGTCTAAGACTGACAAAACTGAGCTTGTGTGGGGCCCGGCCGCTGCCGTCGAAAGGGATTTCCAGTCATGCTACCCATCAGGCTCCAGTGCAGATGATCGTGTCACACACCCACGACGAGCAACCTCCCAAAATCAGCTAGCAGCTACAATGTGAGGCCCCGCAGTTATAAGTTGGTTAACAAAAGCCCCAGTAACTATAGTTATTTGCGTACCATAAACCATAGTGAAATTGGAGTTATGTTCACCAACTTAGCGTTCTCGAACGGGGGCCTCACATTGTAGCTAGATATGACTTGTTTTAAGAGTTTCGTGACAGACACATCTTGGAATCAATAGCTGGGCAAAATGGATGTAAATTCCCCCAGTCATATGGCAATTTCATGGCTTTTGACTCATCTCAATCGGACATAGGACCAACAACATCCGATTTTTCCGCCAAGAAAAATGCTCGACCTTTCCAGTCTTTGGATCGGTTCTTTGGTGCAAAAATTGAATTCACCAGCCATTCATTGTTGGTTGACCAAGAACAATTCTGATTGGTGGTTTTGAACATTTTTTATTTTTCCATATATTGGGAATAGTCACCCCAACTGACTAATATTTTTCAGAGGGTTGAAACCACCAACCAGAATTGGGTGCCAACAAAAACTAATCTGGTGCAAAAATTCACCAGCCATTGGAACGCTGTAGGAGTTGGAAGGAGCTTCAAGTGGACGATGCGCAACTGGGAGATATCACCAGAGTCTTGGCTAATCCCACGTCACGAAAGGTATGTGCTCAACCTTAGTAGGTTTACCATCGTATATCCATTTATATAATATATAATATATAATGTATGGTATATAATATATGATGTATGATATATAATATATAATGCAACATAACATAATATAATATAATAAAATTATATAATATGTATATATAATTACATATGAAAACATATTATTTAGATAGTATACTATATTTATCATTATATATAATATATAATATATGATATATAATATATATGTTTTTTAAAATACATGTGAATAAAGCCACTTTGGACACTTATGATCACCAGGGTTAACCACACAGATAGATCCTATAGCACCCCCAACGGTCGATGCCGAAAATACCGTTGGGAAAACATCATCCAACTACCGTCCTCGAAACAGTAGTAGTAGTGGTGGTGGTGGCGGTGGGCGCCCTATACGTACATATATATATGTGTATATATATATATGTATATATATATATATATGTATACATACATACATACATACATACATATACATACATACATATACATACATATACATACATACATATACATACATACATACATATACATACATACATATACATACATACATATACATACATACATATACATACATACATACATATACATACATACATACATACATACATACATACATGAGCGACGGCTTTTATTTGGTCAATTGGAGAGACGTATTGGGGCGTACCCCGGTTTGCCGAAAACATCATGATTAGGCTGTAAAACAAGGTAGGAACACCCCGAGAACGAGGTAGGCATCTCATGTAAAGCATTTAGCTCCTAAAAACAAGTGCGGTGCTGGAAAACGAGGTCAGGCCCCAAAAAACGCTACGGGACTGGTCTTAGTTGTCCAAGACCTAACTTTTAAACTTTTTTATGTAGCCTGCCTTTTGATCATAGTTTCCTTGATGTTATGTATGGTGAAGTTGCCGTGCAACCGCCAGCAATGTCAAGATTCTCCTGGGGCGAGGAGATAGCAAAATCTCCAGGGGTGAGGAGAGAGTGAAGACTAGAATTGATTAATGTACCCAATTCTTTAGAAAATAAAGCGTTCGCATGCTGCGAGTGGCAGAAAGTAGTGGCGTTCCTGCACTCAGAGGTGCGGCATACCTTCGCGGCCAGCGTTGAGGAAAAACTTTTGGAGTTTGGAGCGCATCAAACGTTTGTTTAAACCGCAAACGAAGGGGTCTGTTCATAGCTGGTTTTTTTTGAAATGAAGTGTGCTTGAACTGGTGTTTGGTTGAAAAGCTGTTTCGAGCACAACCAGTTGCGTCCGCGCGGGTGTGCTACCTAGAGAGCCCGTGCTGGAAGTTTGTTTCGAGCATACCTGGTTCAAGTTGCCCCACGGGATAGTAAAAACTCGGTTTCGAGCCAACACAACCAGACGCGGAACGGCGCGAAAAGATGTCCTGAAACCGTGGCCCAGCCAACATGGTTAATATGCAAACCTTTTTAGCAGATTTCGGAACATGCTGTTCGCCTAAAGCATGTGTTTATTTCGATTGATCCCTAACATGGCATTTCAATGCCATTGCTCTGACATATATTTTGCCAAACTCAAACCACGACAAGTCTAGACACAGTTTCAAACAAAGGCAAAAACATCGCATTTTCATAGTACAAGAACTCCGGCCATAAGCCCCATTACAAACCTCACGGCCTTGTTTTGATTCTCAAGGGGCGAAAATGTGACACCTTTAGCCCTTAGCCCTCCAGTGGTAAAAGATGCGGCACATGGGGAGTGTGACTTACAAAACTATTTTGGGCAGAAAGTTCAAACTTTTAGATGCCTGGAGTTTGGCTGGCTAAGTGGAGAACGAGTTAGGAACACCCTGTCAATTGCGTTATGTACCAAATAAAATCAGTGGCTCATATATATATAATGTATGTATATATAATACATATATATATAATACATATATATATATACATATATATATATACATATACATATGCCATGGTCAAGTTACATGGTATATGAGATATGGTCATCCCACGATCAGGAATTCCTCACGATGGGTATACTGACCCCTGTAAATGGGTGGATAACCATCCCCCTCTATGGGAAACTAAGGCATGTCTTGACCATGGCACATATGAGTTTGCCTGCAAGTAATCGAATTATTCATCATGTTACCTGTTTTCACCGAGTGGAAGATTAATTTAATGGCATACCCCATTCCGAGGCAAACTGACAAACCCATATGCTTCATGTATGATGTATTTACCCGTAGGATCACATATCCAAACAGTGGGATTTACCCCCAACATATGGCGGCCTCTTCATTGGGAAATTGAGGTTCCGAATCCATGGGGTCAAAGGGAGTACCCAAACCGACAAGGATAAATCTAACAAACATGGAGCAGCAAATGGGAATATGAATGTGTTGATAATGGATCTAATATGATCTAATCACATTTCACCTATATGGTTGTTACAATGGATCATGCTTAGATAAATAGCAGATAGATAGATGGATATGTAGATAGATCAAATATGTACATACAAAATAAACACTGGAAAACTGGCAGCTGGAGCAATTGGAGATCAGTCATGCTACCCACGTTTTTTTGTATATGAATTGGCATAACTGTTGTGCTAACTCCCCAATCATAAACCCCCAATTTCGATGATTTACCTCTTCAAAATTGTGATTTGCCACAGTTATTTTTAAGTTAACAACCCAAAATCCCATGGTTGATGATCAAATTTTACATTGAAACTGCAATTTGGGGCTGTCTCTTGGCATGCAGCACTTGGGTGACAATCTCATGGATAACCTGAGGATCCTGCGGAGACATAGGGGCCAGAATTTAAGGCCATCAAAAACGAGAGGTGAATTGACCGTGGTTGGCCCCTGGGTTTCCATCCAAAAAAACTTGTGTTTTCCACGTGTCAGTTCCGAAGATGCCTCTGAATCAAAACCCGAAATGGCGGGACCCCGCTGTTCACATCAAAATAGCTGGTAATGCGGTAAAACCAATGCCAAAATCCTTCAAGTTCGGAGGGTTTATACCACCCACCTATACCGTAGCTATGCTAATTTACCAGAGGGTATATCTCAGTAAATCAGTTTGGATGCCATTAAATCCCATTAAGTCACCATAAAAACCCATTAGATCCCATTAAATCCCACTGGATGATTTGCCTAGGAGATTCACTGGAGCAAGGTGCGATGAAGTCAGCAGAGCGAGTTGATGATCTGGGTGTTTCCATGGTAAATGGGAGAATTCTGAGCCATACATGGAGGGAAAATTAAGGGAAATCAATGACATACCAAGTGGATGGTTGCGAAATCCGATTTCCACCAAAAGGATGGTTGAAACCCGAACAAAATAATGGGATGTTTACCATCTATCATCCACAGTATGATTAAACAAATCATAAGCTTTACCAGGTACTTTATCCGGTGGTTAGAGCTAAGGAGGTATGGGCTGTTCACCATTCAGTGGGGAGTCAAGGGGTGATGCAATCAGCTGCTGTCAGGCTTCTTCGACCGGTCAAGTCCCAGAGTCCCAGGGAGAACTTTTGGTCATGTCGAGTATTCAACAATTCATTGTTTTGACATACCCACAATGTTTCATACAATGTGAGGCCCCCCAGTTACAAGTTGGTTAACAAGCCCGCCCCAGTAAGTATAGTTATTTGCGTACCATAAATTAACCATAGTGAAATTGGAGTTATAAACCAACTTACCCTCTGGTAATTTAACATAGCTATGGAAAATCACCCTTTTTAGTGGGGAAATCCACTATAAATGGCCATTTTCAATAGCTATGTTAGTTTACCAGAGGGTAGCTATCGAACGGGGGCCTCACATTGTAGGAATAGATCTATGACCAGAAATCCTCGTGTCCCAGAATTGGATGAAGGGGAAACTCGACAGGAAGCCCCAAACATTTGGTTAAAACCAGGGGTTGAACCATAAATGGGTATGGATCAATACCTATTAATACCATTTTTAGTGGGATGAACATCCATTTACCAGCTATTTTGATGTTCACCAGGGGTACAAGGTTTTGACACACTGCCAAATTTGCCCTTCAATCTTCAAAGAATCAACGGATCATTCGTTGTCCAGAGATGTAGCAACCGGGTAAACCAAGAAATCACCATGTTTTTTTAATGTAAATCATCGAACTAGTCATGGGCAATGTTCATCGATTTTCACAGATTTTCCACTTCGCAAAGTGTTACCCTCTCGTAATTTAACAGTTTGCTATTGAACATGGCCATAGAAATTTTTGAATTACCCATTTAAAATGGTGATTTTCCATAGCTGTGTTCGTTACCAGAGGGTATGTCCAAACAAAATGAATTGTCAGTTTTAATAGGTAAATCAATTATAATTAAATCCCATAGGATCCATGTATGGTATATATATACTAACATTGGGGGTATATTGATGGTAAATGTTACCACATATAGCATACATGGATTCTATGGGTAATTAAATGGTTTTAAATCAACTAGTTCAATAGTTTTTCACACATTAACTCCTTTTGCAGCTCGTTGGTTTGGGCGCGGTAGGCCTCAAAATCTGCGGACTTCTCTTCTTTCGCAACGCGCCTTGGCAGACGGTGGGATGTGTCGGAGGGTCGCGGATCAAATGCAGACGGTGGATGGGGTATAGAAGTTCAGAGTTATGTAGATATATATATAGTAATACAATGTAATACACTATATATTGTAATACTCTATATATTATATATACATATATATATCATATATATATATATAATTATGTTATTACATATGGTTCTATGTATATATATATACACACATATGTTGATGTGTGTGTGTGTGACATGGTATAGGTTTTATCTTAATGTTTGTGGATTTCTACAATATTTTTGCTATTTTTCCGTCCCCAAGAAGGTGCAGCTTTGCATGAACAGGTTTGGATCCATCCTCATAAATCATCAGCTGTGTTTCAAAGCCAATTGTTTTGGTGGTGATTTTGTTTGCCTAAGGCCCTAAAAGCCCTAAAATTATCACCAGATACTCAGATACGAGTATGTTGCTGTAAAATCCTTATTTTTGCTGCTTAAACACTGCAGAGGTTTATATCCCCAGTACATTTTTTCCATCCCAGGGCTGCAGATGCCATCTGAAGTGCCACCCTTCCAGTCCCCAAGCTTCGGGTCAGGAAATGAAAGCGGATAGCAGGGAGGTCATTAAGGACTGGCCGAAGCTTCGAGCCCTCGGTCAAGTTACATGGGAAATTTTTTGTGGTGACCATCCCCGACAACAAGTTGAAGTACCCTCTGGTAATGACTAACGGTTTGCGACATAGAACATGGCCATAGAAATAGTTGATTTTCCCATAGAGGATGGTGATTTTCCATAGCTATGTTAGTTTACCAGAGGGTATCAAACATCATATGGATGTACTTTTATTGATAAATGTTATTATACGTGCAAGATTTGGCACAAACCGGTCTCAATGTTTTTAGAAAAAATATGAGACATCGTTGTACATCAGTATGTGATCTGCAAAATTGCGGAGAAGACCAGTTGAAACCTTTTCCAGCTGCAGGAAAAGTGATAAAAGAATGATAAAATATGATAAAAGCTTTGGTTTAATGCAGTGAAGCACTGGAACCAACCTAGCGCCAACTAGGTGTTCTTTCGGTGGAAAAGGGTGGGGATGACCGACTATGGGTTTTTGTGGTAGTCACAAGCTCTTTTTCTGTGGGGATATAACCTCTACAACTATGGTTTATCATCATATGTTCCATATGTTTTTTTATGGTTTATCTTGAAGTTTCCCGATGTTTTCCACTTGTTTTCCGGATGGAAAATCCCATGGAAAGAAGCGGATGCGGATGACACCCATCCATTCGCAGGAGTTGAAAGAAGGAGGCGGGGTGAAGAGGATCCGAGTCCTCCTGGGAAGCTGATCATCGTGAGCTCCATAATGTTGGGATAGCCCAACTGCTTCCCCAAGCAAAACTCTCAACTTGTCAACAAGGGCTGATGTGCACCATATTGGCTATGTATTAAAAAAAACCCGGAATCGATGTTCACATCGTTAACTAGAATTTGACGGTATAGCTGGATGCTCACCTCCGCTGATGTGGACACTCCTAGATTCGTATGACCTGTTTTTCAAACATCCCCGAGATAGAGATCTATGAAGTGCAGGAAAATCCCAATGGTGAAATCACAATGTTTTACTGATCTCCGCCCCATTAATTAAACATGGATCTATCTGCCATAAACCTAGGTTATTTTCCCAGATGTTTTGTTGGTATATTCCCATCATAGCATAAGTTAAACCTCCATTCTTGTTGGTAAAACCTTCATGTTTCGTTGATCAGACCCCCCTTTCTACCGGTGTAGAAACCGAATCGCCCCAGGCGTTAGCTGTGTGATTTGCACGGGGGACAACACCACCACAGGCTGCAGGGCGAGATGGGCAGGGAGGTCTTCGGAGGTCGGGATATCCAGAGTTGGAGCTACGTATTTTCTGTTTTCCAAGCATGTGTGATAGTTTTCTTGTTGGCGATACATATAAATATATATATATAAATACATAATATGTATTATCTAATGATATAAGCCATGAAACCAACATGAATATCCCATGACATCCAGTTGAATACCATGCATGATACCTCTAAATCCATGGGTGAATCATGCAAATATCCACTTCGATGAATCTCCGGGGTGACAGCCTGGAGGCAAATCGATGAATTTTATGGAGTTATTTGCTATTTACCCTCTGGTTATTGAACAGTTTGCTATGGAAAATAGATGGCCCATTTATTTCTAGATGATAAACATGATGATGATTTAGCTATCAAAAATTGTGATTTCCCAGTTCGCAAAGCGTGAAATAACTGGATACCATTATTTAGCCATGGAAAAGTTGAACTAAATCGATTCAGATTTTTCCATTGACAGAGTTCGATGATGTTCCGAATGTTTTCCAGGGTCCAATGATGATAATGATGCACAGATGGATCCAAGATGGCCGATTTTCCATCCAGGTTTGGGTTTCTGGGTATTGGGATGATTTCTGAAAGGAGAAAACTTATGAGAAAACAACTCAATACAGCAGAAATTGTGGGTTTCCCGGTTTCCGAAATGGTAAGAGGTGGGGTTACCTGGTTACCTCCTGCCCATTTGGCAATCGACTCGTTCCAATTGGTAGGTCTTGGGCCAGGTCATTGCCGAAACTAGACCCGTCTGGGTCTGGATCAAAGCCTACCCTGGCTTTCAGATCTAGCTGGTATATGGTCACCTTATGGGAAAAAACGGTAGCATGACATACCCTTAAGATCCTGCATTCAGTGGTTAAGTTCCCATTGCTGGTGGCTGGTCCTCCAAGTTTTGTGCTGCTTAAAACCATGATTTTTCTTGGTGCACGTCTATGAGTCTATTTCTTGTTGGTTTGGTTGGTTAAATCAGGTTTAATCAAAACTGATTTTCTGGTTACCCTCCGGTAAATTAACATAGCTATGGAAGCCACGGCCCAGCACATGTTCGATGAATTACCTATATTATTTCCTATGATTTTCTTGGTGATCTTCCAGTTCGCAAAGTGTTAGTAGTTAGTCATTACCCTAGGGTAAACATTGTCATAGATGTGGAACATCAAGCATTTGTAGACGATTTTCCTGGGGTTTCCCCGTTGGTTTTCTACATCTATGGTAGTTTACCCTAGCCCATAGGATCCATGTATGCTATATATGGTAACATTTACCATCAATATACCCCAAATGTTAGCATATATACCATACATGGATCCTATGGGCTAGGGAGAGGGTAATCACAACCATCCAGGAGTAAGCATCGGCCGGCAGTGTGGCATCGTTTCAGACAAGGCACGTGTGCCCCGGCAGAAAGGCGACGGCCATGATGGGGTGGGGTGGTACACGCTCTTGATGCTTGGCATTTAACTTGTTCAAGTAACTTGTAACACGCTCTCGATGCTATGCTCTTAACTGGTTCAAGTAACTTGTAGTCGTTCTTGTTGCCAATCTCTTAACTTTGTCAGGCAACTTGTAACTCCCTCTTGATGCTATGCTCTTAACTTTGTCAAGCAACTTGTATCACACTCTTGCTGTTACGCTCTTAACTAACTTGTTCAAACAACTTGCAACACGCTCTTGATGCTACGCTCTTAGCAGTTTCCAAGCAAGTACACTTCAAAACCAAATGCGAAGGTCATGCTGTTGTGAACCCGCTGCTGAAAGAAAAATCCTTTAGTGGTTGCGGTGGCAGAACATAACTGTGGATGAAAAGATGTGTGCAGAACAGGGCAAAATCTGCAAATGGCGGTAATGAGAGGAATCTCCATCAGCTGCAGATAGCATGAGGTTGCATCATCACTGTGTCCACCGCACGCAGTCCCCACGCCACGGCGTGACCTGGGTAGTTTAGTACTAATCTATTGCCATGTTTACGGGCATATGAGATATCTATAGAATATCCGTTAATTCATCCAGCATCTGAAAACACGAGTATCTTAGATTAATTAAAAAATATGAGATTTGGTTCGCTTTTTTTGTTTCCAGGGCTGTAACAAAAGATCAGCAGGTAGGTAGATACATGTCATTATATGTCTATAATATACATTCTGGGCTCCGTGGCAGGATTGCCGGCCCAAAGGAATTCATGTCCAAAGGTTGGGAACTTGTTGGGTCCAGAATCGATATGGATGTCCCATGATGTCCCTACAGACATTGGTCGATACCTAGGATGTGATCAGATACAGGAATTGGCGGAAAGCTTCGGAAAGCCGTGTTTGACGGCTACAATGCAACATGGACGGATCAGTCTGCCACATTCAGGTACATCTGTGACGGCTTTTCAAGCTTTGCGAGATTTGGATTCGCTGCGCCTCAATACGCAGGCACGGATCAGTCTCTGGCTACAATATGCCACGGGGAACCTCAGAGACATCATGTCTGTTTGGCTTGTTTGGGGGAAAGTCCTCTTCACTGCGGTGGCACAAGGGATGTGCTACACGGGAGTGGAACCAGGGATTCTCGTGGAGGGAGGTGCTTGGCGTGGTCAGGGTGTTGATTACCGACCCCAAGTGAGGCGTTTCGTTTCTACTGATGCTGGAGATGTTACTCAATTGTCTCAGCCATCGTTCGAGTCTCTCGCAGATGCTTCGGCCTTGAGATGCCCGTGCAATTTGAGGTATCCTTGCAATACAATGGTGCTGAGACTCACCGTTTCGGACCCCAAAAAAGGATCATAAAAAAGGATCCCAAAACCATCAATAACCGTGGAAGGGCCAACAAAATCACTGAAAGTGTAGGTTTTTTGGGGTTAGGCATAGAATACACAGTTTCTCATTTTTTGGCTCCAAATTTGCACATATTCCGACCCATCACTCCACTGCTGCCCCAAAATGTTTTTGCAGAAATTTCTTGCCCTACATGGATTGAAGAAATTAGACCTTGTTGCAGTAGCAACTTTAACTACGATCTGGCCACCTCAGAGTCCCGGCTACGAACTAAAGGTCTTTGAAGACGACGTGCCATGCATCCCTTTGATCTAGATGCATTTCCAATGGACACAGCGTCGGCATTAGGTCTCCAATACACCTGTGGGAAACCCAAAGCCATAAACCATCCGATCAAACCATGACTGGGGGCTATAAAACATATCAAATAAGGGTATAATTACCCAATTTCATAAACCAAAATTGGGGTGACCGGTGACAATGGCGGTTTGCCACATGATTCAGGAAATTTAAGGAGAATCAAGGTTGTCAATTCTCACAGCTGCCCTGACCAAAATTTCCTTCCTTAAAGATTTGCAGGCAAAATCCACCAGTTTTTGGTGGTTTCATTATCCAACTGACCCAGATGTTTAAACGTCGTTGTCTGTTGCTCAAATGAAATGATTCTCCAAGTTTACAGTTTGCTTTTGTTTACCAAATGGTCTGATTTTGTTTATCGACTGGGAATGGATCAAGACCTATCATTCCATATTTGGAAGGGGATGAACCCTTAAATTCCAGCGATTTTGGCGTGAACATCTTCGTTGTTTCGGTTTTTGACCCAGAGAACCTGGCCCAGATCAGCGGCAAAAAACTCGAACCGGAGCTCCCAGGTGTTGGTTGGAGAATTGGCAGAGCCAGACACCTTCAAACCCTCGAAGCTGCACTGGCGTGATGCAGATGATAAGGTGCGGTGGACGGAAAGCGTAGGTGGATGGTCGGTTCTGAAAAGGGTTCTGAAAATGGGCCGGGGATTCCCCCCGTGAAAAGGCCATTTTAAGAGGGGAAATCATGGGAGGATGACGATCAACTGTTGGATTTTGGGTTTTTCCCATGTTTTCCCTGAAGTTTTCAGACAAGCCTTGTGGGGGTGACACCAAATGGATGGGTATTCTGCATTGAACTGAGCTGTGAATGGTGGGTTGTGGTTGTTTTTCAGGCAAGTGACAGCCTGGCCCAGTGACATAGGCCTAGAATACTGTACATATCAACAACATGCGCGGACTTCAGAGATCTATTTGTATCCGTCTAGATTATTTTGCAGCCAAATCTGTATATGGCAAACGTAACAGAGATGCGGATCTCATTCAAAACTCTGCAACTTGACATCATGGAAATGGAACATCTCATTGTCATTTGTATATCGGATAGAAAGGCAGTCACAACTTAGGACCGGCAGGTGAGATATTTTCTGCTGTACATTGACAGCCCATTAGTGCGGACACGGGGGACACCTTTGGACTTTTTCCACGGTGAGTTTTCCCACATGAGATGTATCAAGCCACCGATCCTTTTCCTTCCTGGTCATGATATCACGCATGTTGGTAATCCAAGTCTTGCAGATCAATAGTATAGGCACCTTGTTGATCATGAATCCCCCTTTCTTTCTCCTCAATTCAAGAACAAACCCAATCTGGTTGGTGGTTTGGAACATTTTTTATTTTTCCATATATTGGGAATAATCATCCCAACTGACTGATATTTTTCAGAGGGGTTGAAACACCACCAACCAGCAATAGTTTGCGATTCCTAGGTTCCAAAACGCTTCCATCCATGTATTGCAAAACATAGCCAAATAATGCCAACTATATTTGGTCGATTGAACTATACAGCTATGTGGTAATCCAAAATAGTTGGAAGAAAGCATGGCTTTATTTCCTCCCTAAGCCAGGTAAACCCAATACCCACCCGGACCAACTACGCCCTATATCACTTATGGAGCCCCTTGGTAAGTTGATAATGGGATTGTTGGCCGAGAAAGTCAAAGGCCAATTGCAGCATCAGCTCTGCAGACGCTAGGGCGGCGCTGGATGCCATTGCTCGAGTGGCCACTGTCGAACAGTTCGTACGTTGATCAGTCATCAACGACGCATTGTGATGCAACAGATCCAAGGCAGTCCAACTTTTGTTTTTTGCGGTGGCATTCAACTTTCCTTAAATCTCACTCGAGCCTTTGACTGCGTATGGCGTAGTCTGCTCTCTGACCACATGGCTGCGATGGGGCTTTCATCAGTCCTGCTGACACTCACGTCCCAATGGCATGTTGGCACACATTACAATTGGCAATACCACTCAAATACCTGTTGGGGTTGGCCTTCGGCAAGGATGCAAAATAGCACCAATGCCAAATATATTTGGTCGATTGGACTATACAGCTATGTGGTTTCACACACACACACACACATTTTTTTTGATATCATCCTGAAATGATGCTCCTGATGAAGAACTAGTTTTCAAGGGAAGTGACACCACCTCCCAGTACAATCTCTCAATGGATTGGGACACTCTTCACCCGGATTTCCAGGATTTTCCCATGACATGAATCGACCCAGGAGGCTGAAGTCCCTCACTGGCAGTTCGACAACGCCGAGCCCGGGAGCCCAGCGACAGCCCAGCGACAGGGGCAACTGAGCCATAGCCGGGAGGGGTTCCATCGATCACATGGGGCTTCCTCAATGGGGAATCCCCAAGTGACCGGGTTTCAATACTAAAATGCTTTCATGACTTCGAGGATTTTGGGGTAACCTCATGACTTAGGAAACCTCCATTTGGAGGGCTTCAAAGCGAAGAACACAATTTGTATAGACTGGACAGGGGCGGCAGGACACTTTTTTTGATTGAAAAATATGTCGTCACAGGCAGGGAAAAGGCAAACCTTAATAGCAGGCTAATAATTTTTCATGATCTGATGGGGGTAGTCCTGATGAGGGTAGATGGGATTTCTATGATGATGTTCATTGCGGGTTGCCGATTGTATGCCAACATTCAGTGCGCAGCTGAGTTGGCATTGGGATCATGAGAATCCCCACAATGTGAGGCCCCCCAGTTATAAGTTGGTTTATAAGCCCCAGTAACTATAGTTATAAGTACCATAAACCATAGTTATTGGAGTTATAAACCAACTTAGCTATCTTGGGGGCCTCACATTGCATGTATCCAGTGTGCAGAAAATTCTATGTGTTTGGCTTGGCCGGTGCGGGCGGAACCTCCTGGCTTATTTCCACACTAGCCAGACGGTCAACGTGCACCAGAAACACACTTGCATGATCTTGCATGACCATTCATTCCACTTGGTGTGTGGGTAGAAACCAAGGTTATCGAACGTCCTGGGTTCATAGGGGTTATCACATGTAATTACAACTTATTATCAGCATAGGATATGATATGATATGATAACATCACATTAATGTAACTGTTGTAATATAACATAATATAACTATTAACCAGTGTATTAACTATCATTTCTATAATTACCTTTGATCAATTAACATAGACTCTGAAAATAACAAGCGTAGTGGACACTTGTCTCCCAACCCCTATCCGCCAGGGTCTATTATCACATAGTGGAACTATGAATCAGTGTATCAATACTATTATTAACTATCATACTATAATTAGTCAGAATCACATCCCATTTCACTGGCCATCTTAGGAACCGATTTATTGGAGGTACCTACCATATATAAGGCCTATATGATTCAGGCCTAAATTTCAGGGAATATCCCCACAAGTTCTGCCCAAAAAATGGTACTAACATACCTCCATTTTAGGATCCTGGAATTCCCATTGACCTTTGCTGGTTGGTGGTTTCAAACATTTTTTATGTTTCCATATATTGGGAAAAATGATCCCAACTGACTTTCATATTTTTCAGAGGGGTAGGTATACCACCAACCAGATAGATTAATCATAGATAAACCATAGATCAACCATAGATTAACCAGTATGAACCATTATTCACCACTATTGACCATAGATAAACCAATATTCATGTTGGGGTAGGTCAACCACCAACCAGAATTAGGTGCCAACAAATCCATTATTAACCATTACCCATAGGATCCATGGTGCTGCTACATATGGTAACGTGGATCCCATCAATATACCCCAGTCATGTTAGCATATATACCAGCACCATGGATCCGTCATGGGTTATTAACCATTATTAACCATTATTAACCATTATTAACCATTATTAATAGTCAGTTAAAACCACCAACCAGATTGCTAGTCGTCGCGTATCAGTCGTCCGACACTCGGTTTCCAGGTTGGCACTGAGTCAGTCGGCTTTCCGATGGCCACTGGGCCATCTTGATGGGAGATCAGGTTGGCCATAACAAGTCATACATATATACCCTCTGGTAAACTAACATAACTATGGAAAATCACCATTTTTCATGGGAAACTCCACTATAACTATAAATGGCCATTTTCAATAGCTATGTTAAATTACCAGAGGGTATATATATATATGGGTAAATTATATCATAGTTAGTAAGGGGAATCATCCCGAAATGGCCTTACCCATATATATATAGAACTGATTCAGAAATGATACTTAAAAAATATTTAAGAATAATGATCATAATCGAAAATAGTAATAATAATATACAACAAAACAATGATATTATATTACTTAAAATAATAACACTGATAATAACAATCAGGTCACGCCGTGGCCAGCGGCCTGTGCGCAGGCATGATCAGCATTATCTTATCTTATCTTATCTTATCATCATCATCATCATCATCATCAGCATCATCATCACCATCATCCTCATCATCATTGTCGTCGATGTCATCGTCTGCAAGGGAATTCTAGATAAACGAAGTTATATATACATATGAGGATGTTCAAGATAAAGATAATGGTCCTATCGTAACCGGGCAGTCTACATTAACATACATGTCTAGCAAGAACGTTACATCAACGTAGCACAGCGTAGATATGCAAGCGTGCAAGAACGCTAAAGAACACTACATCAACGTAGCACAGCGTAGTTCCGCAAGCGGGCAAGAACGTTACATCAACGTACACAGCGTAGCTGTGCAAGAGTGCAAGAACGCTAAAGAACGCTACAACAACGTAGCACAGCGTAGCTGTGCAAGAGTGCAAGAACGCTAAAGAACGCTACAACAACGTAGCACAGCGTAGCTGTGCAAGAGCGCAAGAACGTTACATCAAGGTAGCACAGCGTAGATGTGCAAGCGTGCAAGAACGCTAAAGAACGCTACAACAACGTAGCACAGCGTAGATGTCCAAGCGTGCAAGAACGCTAAAGAACGCTACAACAACGTAGCACAGCGTAGATGTGCAAGGGTGCAAGAACGCTACCTCAACGTAGCATGACGTCGCTCAGCAAGAAGCGTACATGAACGTTATTACCCCACCCCACCCCCCCCAACAAGGACAAAAAAAGACAAAAAAAACAGAAAAATAGCTTTCACACACAGGCCGCGCGCCACGGCGCCAGCAACAATCATAATAACAATAACAATAATGATAATACCAATGATAATAACAATAGTAATAACAATAATCATAACAATAATCATAACACCAACAATAATAATATACCGTAGTAATAATGATAATACTTCATAATAGTGATGACAATGATAATATTAATAGTAATAATAATATGCCATATAGGCACTATATATATATGTTTTTAACACGATTTGGTCAACTAAACTTGAGATGCTACCACCACAATGTATTTGGAACACGTTTGGGACACATGGGGATGATAATTTTAAGCCATGGGAACTGCGCATGAGTTGGCTATGATACTCCTAGTCACAATCCGGGTTCATAGCACCTCTCCATGCTTCGGCCTGGGTCAAAATTCTGAATCCAGGTATATCTGGACCATATTTTTTGAGATTTGATGGACGGTAAGATTGTAAAGCCGAGATTTTTCGGGACATCGTTTCCCAAGCATTTTCCAGATTTCTGGATTTATGTTTGGACATATGTTGAGTCTTTAGCGAATGCTGTACGCAATAAATGCATTTGCCCTAAACAAATGCATCCAAACAGCGGTAGTTCACATCGATAACGGTCGAATTAGCACATTATTTCCCATGGCACATATATATATATATATGTATGCATTATAAATTATAAATCAATGTGCTAATTCATATAAATTATATGGATGAATACTATATAAATTCTAAGCATATAAGACACATACATACATACATATATATATATATTCCATTGAATCCCCTTCTATCACCCGTTTTCCCTAGTTCAATTCCCCCAGTTCAACGGTCAAACTGGCGCAGGTTAGTGCGTGAGAAGCCTGAAGAGCTGTCCGAGATGTTGCCGTCCATCAAGGCGATCCTCCCAAAAATTGGAGAATTTAGGGGGAAACACCTAAAAATAAATTTAGAGATTTATCCAGATAGTAATAATAATAAATAGGAAATTATCAGTAATAAATCTGGGTAAACCGCCAATTTTTAGGCGACAATTGGGAAAAAACCTAAAACTATATTTATTATCTGGATAAATTATAACGACCATAATTATATTGACCATTATAGTATAGTATAGTACAGTATAGTATAGTATAGTATAGTAACCATGGTATATCCATTGGAAGACCATGATAACCATTATAGTATAGTATACCATTATCTGGGTAAATTATAACGACCTCACTGCGACCGAACCCTGGAATCATGGTTAGTAAGGGAAATCATCCCCAAATGGCCGAACAATTCAGGTTAGTGAAATATTCTAATCTGCCCAGAATTATACGTAAAAACCATTATTGTGTGTTTTCCACGGTTTTCCATGTTTTTATGAAATGTGGAGGAAAACCATGGAAAAACCTCTATAATTATTCGTAAAAGCCTCAGTTTTCCTCTATATAGATGTTCTCTTTTTCCCAATCCAGTGAGAAAATCGGACCTGTCACTGGTTCACATGGACCAAGTCAACTAGGGGACGATATCATTGAAATTTCGGTTCAACTTTTTGCGGAAGGTCCTGCGGAAAGGAAGGAGTTGTGACGAACAGAGTGGGAACCTCACCATGGAATCCATGATCATCTCATTGACATTTAGCAATCAGCCAATCGTTTTGTCCCTCGTAAGGAACGCAATCCCAGATGGCCCTGATGAAATGTATGGGATGTGTTTTTGTTATCAACAAAATGTCTATTCATTTGCAAGACCAGGATTATTTTTTACAAACGTGAGCAATCAACAAGTATCAGCCACACGTACTAAATATAGATACTAACATATCGTTTTAACCAGCCATATCCAAAAAACATCGCCATGGATACTGTTCATTCAGAACTGTCCATGCCACAGGTCTTTGGCAGAATGAAACCAGATGAAGCTGGGCCAAAATGGGTTGATTCACCGAGTGACTTTGTGAATTTGGAGGAAACACCACCCCAAATCCCATGAAGTTCGGACATTTCGGGGAAACCCAGCAAAATCCCATGAAGTATATGAAATGAATCCTCAGTTTCTTCACGATGCATGACTAAAAATAGGGGTGCACCCAATGTTCAGACACCCAAAATATGACCAACAAAGACTGGGTTCTATCCCAGCGAACAGAACTTAGTGACGTCACATGTCGTCAATGACCACGAATGGAATACAACCCAAAAGGACCATCGTCCCCAGAAGATCTGAGCGATGGAGGTAGTGCCAGGATGACTTGGATGTGAAGTCCCCAGTTGCTGCGTAGATAGTAACCATGCTACATACAACCCAGCCATATTTGGTAACTCTCTGGTAATCACTTATATATGTATACATACATACATACATACATACATACATACATACATACATACATACATACATACATACATACATACATACATACATACATACATACATACATACCTACTACCTACCTACATACCATACCTACATACCTACATACCTACATACATACCATACATACCTACACTACCTACATCCATCTACCTACATACCTACATACCTACATACCTACATACCTACATCCTACCATACAGACATACATACATAATACATACATACATTACATACATCACCACATCACACACACCACATCATACTTACACACACACACACATACATACATACATCCATACAGAACATACATACACTACATACGACCGACATACATACATACATATACATACATACACATACATACATACATACATACATACATACATACATACATACATACATACATACATACATACCATCATACATACATCATACATACATACATACATACATACATACCTACATACCTACATACCTACATACCTACATACCTACATACCTACATACCTACATACCTACATACCTACATACCTACATACATACATACATACATACATTAATACATTACATACATTCCATTACATTCCATTCCATTCCATTCCATTACATTACATTACATTACATTACATTACATTAATACATACATACATTACATTACATTACATTACATTACATTACAATACAATACAATACATACATACCTACATACATACACACATACACACATACACACATACACACATACAGACATACATAAAATTACATAACATCACATAACATCACATAACATCAGATAACATTACATAACATTACATAACATTACAAAACATTACATAACATTACATAACATTACATAACAGTACAGAACATTACACAACATTACACAACATTACATAACATTATATAACATTACATAACATCACAAAACATTACAAAACATTACATAACATTACATAACATAACATTACATTACATACATACCTACGCATGCATGCATATATACCTACCTACCTACCTACCTACATACATACATACATACATACGTACATACATACATACATACCTTCATACCTGCATACATACATACATACATACATACATACACAGACATACAGACAGACATACATACATACATACATACATACGTACATACATATATATTTATATCTATCTATACACACACACATATATATACATACGTACGTACCTACATACGTATATACATACATATACATATATACATAAATACACACATATATATATATACATATACATACATATACATATATACATACGTATATATATACATAAATACATATACATATATACATATATACATGTACATATACATATATATATATATCTACATATATATATATATATACATGCATATACACATATACATACATACATATGATATATATATATACATATATATATATACATATATATATATGGCAACGGGAAATTCCCATAAATGGAGGTTTTAATGGGAACACTCCCCTTTATACATGGCGGATTTTCCTTTTTCATGTTTGATTACAGATAGCCACTTCCAACTGGGATGCACCAAGTATAGGATACAACTTTTGGGACGCCCACGTCGTTACGTTTCCAAAAGATTAGATATTCTTGCAGAAAGTAAAACCCACTTATAGATCCCTGACACTTTCACCCTGCAACTCATACTCAACTTTACAATTCCAAAAGATTGGACATTCTCAATCCGGATTGTATGACTTGCAGGGTGTTCATCCCTTTCCCACTTAAATGCAACCATTACTGGATCTTGGTGGTCGCAGAATCTCATTTTTTTGGAGTTCACCCTGTTCCGTGCTTTAGATACTTTAGATCATGAACTGTTTCTCAATGTCTTTCACGAACGGTCTTCGTGCACCAGAACGAGGACAAAATCAAGGTGATCAACCTCTGGCAAGACTATGGTGATGGTGTGGCTAGGCAGAAAGGGCAGACAACATATGACAACATCAACAAAGAAGTAAATTGAAGAAAGATATGATATGACTATATATATATGTATGTATATATATATACATGCATACGGTAGGTCCGTAGGTCTTTCACCTAATCCAAATTCAGCGGAACAACTACCCAGTGGAACATGGCTACAAATAGATATTCATAGTAACCATCAAATGTATTGCAATTATTAAAATGCATCGGAGTCTTACTTTCACATTACATCGATGAAATATTATAGACATACCATTTCATACCACTTCACCACACTTGACAGGGAGATTCAACGAGTGATAACCGGTAGTAAACCACTACTAGATGACAAACCATGAACACAGGGTTTCAGCGGCAGTCCCCAAGATGTTCGTGAAAGCAGCCACTTTGTGGGGCTGTAAAGCATTTTGGACCAAATATTTCCGTGAGTGATTTCCAATATCTAAGTAGAATGAAACCCAGATGTCTGGAACCCGAGAGACTCCTACAAAACTTGCCCAGTCCCTAGCATCAATATTTTTTAGCCATATCCAAAACACCTCCATACCTCCCGATGGAGACTTGATCGTCCAAATTGAAAGTCAGTTGGGTTCAAGGTATGCATGCATCTAAATTCTGCGTACCCTGATCATGAAAGCAGCCAATGAAAGTTGGTGAAAACACCAAAATGTTGGGCCAACACAAAGATTGATGGCGCCAATGAGGGTCAAGGTGTATGTAGACATGTATGTATGTATGTATGTATATATATATATAGTATACATATGTTGATGAACTTTTCGACATTGCTTATTGACAATGTATGGATATAGAATATCTTGCAAATCGGATGTACGTGTTTACACAAATATACACAGAATTGTCCACTGTGTGTGTGTCCTAGATCAGAGAGTACTTCCTGCATGACCGATTAAAGATCATCTTCATGCCGTGAGAAAGGGATGCAGATGATTATATGGATCCATTAAAATCCATAGGTTATATCAAAGTTATATCCATCATCTATGAAAGCAAATCCATGTTCTACTTGACCAATAATTTTGGGTTTGTCTGAAAATCACCATTTTTTTTTTGGCGGGGGGGTATACTCGATTTTCAGACATACCCAATAGTTCCATCACCTCATTTAACTCCGATTTCTGTTGGTCAAATCTCCAATGTTCAAAAGAAATTTTGGGCCAAAGCCAGACAAAAGTGGTAAACCCAATGTAATCAACCTACAAAAAGTGGGGCCCCATATCCCATAGTATCCCATGGTTTATCATCTACCAGGTAAGTCAAGAATTCACCTGACCTTTCAGTGAGTTCAACCCACCGGTGACCGAGGTGGTCACCGGCATGGTGGGCGACGGCGGCAACGACTGCGGCGCCCTTCGCACGGCGCATGCAGGGCTGGCGCTGTCCGAAGCGGAAGCCTCCATGGTGCGCGGCTCGGGGTAGCCACAACGGTCGTTGATAGGTGGTAGCCACAACGGTTATTTGTTACATAGCTATGGAACATATTGGAACATGGAAACCATTGAAATCATGGAAACAGTTGATTTATCATGATTTATCTATTAATAAAAGATTGTGATTTTCTGTAGCTATGTTAATTTATCAGAGGGTAGCCACCCCAATTTATGTCCAAATTCTTCTGCTAAGCGTCAAAATGGATGGGTTTTTGTCTACACGACACTTTGCCTCTCAGTGCAGTCCTATATAGGGTTGAAGTGGCAAGTAGAATGAAGTGTATTTTGGACATTGCTTCGGCACAAGACCCCAAAGACTCAAAGACATACCACCTGATATGCACCGCGATATGTGTCAACAGATTGACAGAAGCAAGGTATGTCGAAGTACCCAATCCGCAGTCCAAGACCCCTCCGATCCCATCGCTCAGTGGAGATCAAAGGCATTTCCGACATGAAGTCGTTAGACCCAGACTACTTCAGTGATTTTAATTTCAATCCCATTCCGCCCATTCCAATGCCCAGACTGCAGACTCTCAATTGACAGAAGTGAAAGACCAAGTTTTTTTTTTGTAGGAGGACAAGACAATTTTTGACAAATTAAAAACGACATTGGATGAACAATGACATGGATGAACATGTTTCTACTTGTAGGTTGAAGATGGTTGAAGTCCAACCTCAGACCCGACCCCAGCAGAAATTGACTTGAAAAGATGCCACACTATAGAGTAAGCAGCATCTAGCTGAGAAGGTGTTTCAACAGTCAAGAGAAAGTTTTCACTTTGACCGGATGCGTATGAAGTTGAAGAATTTGAGACATTCGCATCAAGCATCATCATTCATCAACCATCAACCAAAACATAAGATGACCCAAGATGGCTGATCTACCTTCAGCAGATGGCCCCAGATGTTCACAGGTGTCTCCCTTCAGCAGCAGCAAGGGCTTGTCCGAGCAAGGTGCGGCGATTCAGTTGGTACCGCTGCAAAGACATGGCATGGGTGAACATTTACCCTCAATTTGTTACACTTTGCCAATTTTGTAGATGTCCCCAGAACATATATCCTTCTATGTTGCATATCCCACGGCAAACATCTTCCTAAATAGCCATGTTACATACCCTCTGGTAATTACTAACAGTTTGCCAATGAACATGGCCCAGTCGAAATAGTGGATTTACCCAGCTAGAAAATGGTGGATCTTTCCATCGTTTTTTTTAAACGTTTAGAGGGTAAGACCTAGACGGATGACCCAGGGGCTCGCACCATCCCATCGTTGGATCACAGCTACTACTGTTGGTCCTCACTCAATCCTTGGAAAATCACCAGGGTCGTTTCAACCGTCCCAAGGCTTTCTCAGGTGGTCCCTTTGGTGTGAAAAAATATCCCAAATTTCCAGGAGGATCAGTAATGTCAAGGTAGGATTAATCAACCCCCCCGGATTAATCAACCACCACTGCCCCCCAAAAAATGTAATTTAAAAACAGGTGGTCCCCCCAGATTAAAAAAACCGTTTGGCCTGGATTTGTCCAGATTTTAAGGCCTGAATCCTGAAACCTGGGAAAAGTGCATGGCTTCAATACCAAAAAGTGGTCCCAAACTTGAAACTCTTTGGCACGGTCATAACTATCTCCCAGGTAAAGCATGCTAAATGGGGTACTTGGATTTATTGGATTTATTGGGTTTGCCACATGACAAGACCATATTCATATTTCTGTAGCATTCAACTGTTCACTACAATGTCTAAACCAGATTGATAAACCTTGGTTGATTGAAGATTAGGGGGCTACCTCCAATACATGACACTGGTACCCCATCAGTTGAACGGCCCAGATCTTCAAAAAAATCCAGGACTGCGGTGTCAAAAAAAAATCCAGGACTCCAACGATCAACTGTGGAGACTTGTCTATTCTTTTTGTAGATTTTTGTAGCTTGTGTGGTTTGGAGAGTCTACCATTATCACTGGGTCAGGATGTTTGAGGATGTCCTGACAGCGGACCAGAGTTCAGAAAAAGTCGCCTCCGAAAAAAAATTGACATTTAGGAGCCCGAAAAATGATATTACTGAAAGCCAGTTTGAAAGTTTCATGTTTCATTTAGGTGGTGTAGATCATGTGAAATCTCCGATTGTGCGACCTTGATGACCTTGATCAACATCCAAAGATTTGTTGCTTGAATCGCTCTTGTGGCTGAAAATTCCGCTGTTTTTCCTGATAAATCCACAAGAATCCAATCTTTTGCTTCAGCAAATCCGAAGATCCTAGGATTTATCGAGTAAATTACCCTCTGGTAAACTAACATTTTGCTATTGAACATGGCCATTTATAGTGGATTTACCCATTGAAACTGGTGATTTTCCATAGTTACGTTAGTTTACCAGAGGGTATAATTTTCTGCATGTTGTCCTCAATGTTGTTCGTTTACCTTTGTTTGGTGCAGAAAAGCCCAAGATTTGCGGGTGATTTCCCCATTTCTGTGACTGATACCATCATTTTACTGAAACAAAAAGACAATCATCCACATATCCCCAAATAGATCATTGCATCTTGATTTAACCACTTCATAATAATCCCATTACTTATCAATATATGATAATCCCCATCCCAAGCACAATCCAAAAATCAATCATGGTTATAAACCACTTGAAATTACATATTATTTACCATCAGTAATCCCAAATAGACCATCAGTAAATATGATACTATGGTTCCCGTATAGTCCTGCGTAACATTAGCATAAGTGAACTCCCATATTTGAAATTCCACTTTATCAACTAATCAGAATTATATAAAATCCCATTTATCATTAAGATAATCCCAATCTCACTTTATTAAGATAAATTAATGATATGTAATGACATGATTGAGATCTCAATTATATGTAATTTACCCTCTGGTAAATTAACATAGACCCTGAAAACCACCAATTTTTAGTGGAAACTAATCTTCCAACCCCTATCTGGCATCTATGTTAATTTACTGGAAGGTATCATTAAGATAATCCACTGGTTGGTTTGTAACATAAATTTTATTTTTCCATATATGGGGAATTTCATCATCCCAACTGACTTTCATATTTTTCAGAGGGGTAGGTCACCCACCAACCAGTGTTTCATTAATAACCATGATTATAAGTTATACCGGATTGGAAACCCTGATATATTTTCATTGTGGTAGTTTTCTTTATCACATTTCTTGGTATCCCCATTTCTAAGTATGACCATGAATGGGATTAAACCATATTAAACCATACTAACCATATATAGGGTAGTTCAACCACCAACCAGTGTTGGTCTGGTATTTATCATATAAACCATATAAAACCATTATAATTGATGGTAAATTAACCATTAACAATGGCTGGTTTCCTGACTGGTTTAATAACCATTAACCACCAACCAGTCCATCACCCATGACGGATCCATGGTGCTGGTATATATATATATATATGTATATATGCTAACATGACTGGGGTATATTGATGGTAAATGTTACCATATATAGCATACATGGATCCGTCATGGGTCATGAACGTCCCCAAGGTCCCCAGGTCCCTTCGCCCCTTGGTGGAGGCTTCATTAGCCTCGCGGCGGTGGTGGATCTCATCAAGGAGGGACGCTGTTGCCTTGTCGCTTGGCGAAGGGCACGACGAAGGGCAACCGGGGCTACCGGGGCCCCGAGGTCAGAAAAGAAGATTTATATGATATTGATATATCAATAGAGTATCTACATACATTAATGTCAATTGACATTATAACATATCTACAATATATCTACAACTATATATCAATATATGAATATGAGGCAATAAATTGATGATGTATGTATGAATTTTACAAGTATTTATTTGTGTATGTCACATATATATATATATTATCTAGATATTTTATCTATAGATAGATTCTTGATATCTTGTAGGTATATTGTAGATATATTGTAGATATTTTATAATGTAGATACTCTTTATATATATATATTATACTCAAATAATGTATGCACACAAACATATCAACCAATGGCAACTATAGACGATGCGTAGGCGGGGTAAGGGCCACTGTAATTCAGCCAGCTGTTGCCCCAAGTGCTAAGGGGAAAGCACGAAGCTCAACGTGCCGTTTCAGTCTGGAATTTTGTTAAGTTGTCTGATTCACTGGATTGGTTTAAGAGCAAATCTACAGCTGTAAGCTTTCCCTTAAACTGATGACATCTGACTGTACTGTCACCCACTTTTCTTCTTGGTTTCCCTAGTTCTACACGCCAGGGAAATCCTGCCATGCCATGCAGGAATCAGACATCACAAAAAAGTTTACCCTCTGGCGAGTGAAGCGCTATGGAAATCACCTAATTTTGAATGGGTAAATCATCGAACTACATGGGTTTCATGGCTTCCGTAGCTGGTAAATTACCAGAGGGCATTACATATTAATCACGTGGGACAATGTTGCAAACCTCATCGGGTTCAAAAACTCACTGTGTAGTGGCCCGCAGTAAACCCATGTTTCGTTTAATGGCTGCCAAGATTTCTGGGTGAATTGATCACGACCGTCGCGAAGTCACCTTATATGATGTGAATATATGGGAATAGGATTGGGGGATTATTGATGTACTGTAACTAGGTAACTACAAGGTGGTGCCCCAGTGCGTTAGCTAAGTTGGTTTAGAAGTCCAATAACTATGGTCTATAGATGTTTATAGGTGATATAAAGTGATATATCTATAGTTAATGGGATTATAACCCATTTATAGCTGGGGGGCACCAGCTTGTAGGTAACTAGATAACTATCCCCAAACTGTGGTTATAATTCAGCCACGTCTCTTTTCGATTGGTGGTTGCAGATTTTCGTTTTTTTGTGATGATCATTTTTGGCATTGCTTGAAGTCAGGCCATGCCCGTATTCCTGAAATTGGATTAGCAGGAACATCTATAGATATTTGACTGTCAATGGTTTTGTGCAACTTTATCGTTAAATCAATCCAGTTCTGCATATATAAATAAAATTATGTTCACAGCTACCGATTAAGGTTGAAGGCCCCGGTTCACCCCCCCCTTATTGAGTTTGAATGAGTTTGACTTCTCATGTCCATCTGGCAGATAGGAATACCCTCCCTTTTTCAAGGAGAAACATTGAGCCCATGCCCAACAATTTGCAAAGAGAGAACAATAACACAATTCAGGGACTGCAAACACAGGACATAAAAAGGGTCTCAAATGTATGTAAATGTTGTAAATGGGTCAACCTGGAAATTACCTTCAACCAGGATGATATTTTACATTTTCCATGGGCTTTTTGAACATAGGTTACCCCAACAAGGTTTTGCACATACCGAGTGCACCGTTTTCATTCGTCTTCCTCAGCAGTGTGACGAAATTCATGGCCCATCTAGGTAGAAATTGACTTGCTTCAACCAAACCAGAAATGAACATTTGAAGGTTTCCTAAAATAGGGGTACCCCCAAATCATCCATGTTAGTGCTGGTTGGTGGTTTGCCACTGTGTCAGGTCTTGGTTGTTTACGCTGTTGATCTTTTTCAATGTTTGTTGGCTTGGAGAGACATCGTCTCCAGGTCCGGTTCAGGCTTTGCAGCCGCCTTGACCGTAGAGTCACCACAGTCAAAGCACTGTCTTCCCAACCCAAGACAGTGCGATACACAAAGCGGTACAAAGTGGTGGTTTGGAACATGAATTTAGGACTTTCAATATATTGGGAATGTCATCATCCCAACTGACTTTCATATTTTTCAGAGAGGTTGGTCAAGCACCAACCAGCTATGGTTGAAACTATTGGTTAAAATACCACTATTAACCACTGTTATAACCACCAACCAGTACACATTTCTAAACCATCCAGTGTTTTCGGGGTACCCCCATGACTACGGAAACCCCCATGACTGGGAGATGGGCTGGAGCAACTCTGAGTGCTGTGAATGGCCAAGGTCGATATCTTGGACTCATCCGAAAAAATGCCACGACTATCTTACTGTATACTCCTGTTATGTATAGTATATTCATACATATTCATGCATATTAATCTATCTATGTCTGTGTGCGTGATCGATTTCGAAAAAACACATGTCGGAAATGACCTGGAAATGACCTGGAAATGACCAGGCGACCATGATAAAAACCATATAAAAAACCAGCTGAATCCCAAAGGTCAAGCCGCGACCTTTCCATAGAGCATGGTCCATTTTGGGCGGAAGAACCCATGTCATCTCGCCGTCATTGCAGGGGTTCAGTTGGGAAAGTATGAAGCTTTGGGGTCCCTAGGTTTTTAACTGATTATGAACATGTAACGCTCCCCTGTAGCATTCCCCAAAAAGCTAGAACAGTAATGCACAGTAATACCCATAGAGTTCCGCATTAACACTGGCAAATCACTTCTCTATCCTTTGGGGTTTTTAAAATGCTCACATGTGGGATGGCACAGCACACAACGTCAAGCGGACAGGCCCACAGGTTTCTCTGATGCAGCAGGGCCGAATTGTCCCGCATTGCCGCACTCATGAAGTTGAAAGGCTTTTCGGCTTTTCTGCTGAAGCATCCGTTGCCTTGGAACATTTGGAACGATCAGTCCCTTGAAACTGGCAACGTTCGGGTCTTCGGGTGCGCCTTTTTTCCGCGAAACAAATTTGGGGCACCATTGAAAATTCACGGCCATTACAAGTCTGCGAATTTTCTGGGATCATCTCGGACCTGCAAGGTTCAGCGCGAACCTCCCCGTAACTGGTTGCATTCGTTCGCTGTTCCTTAAGCGACGCCAGGGCAAAAATGCGAGTATAAACCATGGGGAGCCTAAGAGTTGTCCGTGGGCGTCCAAATTTCCCTCCTCTGGTTTGGCACCATTATATAAACAATAAATTGCAATAATTGCATGCCCCATTTTGAGACCCTTAAATGCGCAATGATCAGGATGTGGGTTAGGATCCAAATATTTGGATTAAACAAATACCAAGTCTGCGGGAATTTGCGGCCCCCCTCGGTGTTCGATTCGGACCCAGAACCCCCTTAGTATACTAGTCACTATATACGCATATGTCACATATAGCAACCACCAAGACGACAGAAAAGTAACATCCTACTAATATTCTGGTCAATGACTGTTCTATGTTTGTTTTGGATTGGTCGCAACGAAAGCATAAAGAAATATACACTTGATCTATCCCAATATCCAAGACAGCGCATCATCACGCCACGATCATAAGCGCCGAGGCCACCAACATGGCGACATTCATGCGCCTTGGGTTGCAGAAAGCATCAGTGCGTGGCAAGTTTATAGCGGACAAACCACTGGTTAGGAGCTTTTGGGAGCCAAGGAACTACTAAGAGTTTCCCAACCACATGGTGGCAAAAGGAGGTTTGAGACTTGAACCAAAGGAAGGCATTCCATGTAAGATGGCGTTGTTTTTTGTCCGGTGCAACTCGTTGCGCGCAGGAAAATCCATGTTAAACATGTTCTGGGCAACTGGTTTTGAATTTGCATCCTCTCTCCATCATTTCCAACAAAATTTTAGTCATCACCACCACAATCGTCAACATCATCATCTTCATCATCATTATCATCATCATTATCATCATCATTATCATCATCATCATCATCATCTTCATCTAATTGTGTAGGGGCCATTTCCCATACTGTAGCTACGTTAAATAACCAAAGGGTATTCATCATCTTCATCACCACTGCCATGAGGCAAACTAAAGGTGTGATGTTTGGAGGGCCAACATTTTTTCAATTGACGGTAGCGCAGGTTCTTCAGAAGTTTGAAATTTGCATTCAAAACAGGTTAACAGAATAGTAATATGATATATATATATATGTTTTTTTTAATAGTTTATAATTATGAATTTTATGTCATTTGCCAGGAAAAGGCACCATATCATGTAAATAGATGGCCACTGGCGGTAGAGGTTTGTCAAAAAATATCCCACAATCCAATGGTTTCCCACAAATGTCCGAATCAAATTGATATTTTCTTCTGATATATTTTCCGGTAATTTAAGATATCTATTATACAAAATTGCAAATTTATAAATGATTTACATTCGCAAATCTCTTGAACAAGGTGATGTTCCATCACTATGTCAAATTACCAGAGGGTACGCAATTTCTCTTGACAAACCAGTAAGTGCGTTGGCCCGATTTAAACCGTTCTAGATTCCATTAATCCACATTAAATTCCATACAACGATAGATAAAATTTTGGTTTGGTCACTCTCCTTTGGCCTGGTTACCAGGTTGCACGAACTTGTGGATGTATGGAAAACCAACCCTTGGTAGATCATTTGTCTAGGACAATCCGTGGATTTACACATCCAGTGTGAAACGTTTTCATGTTCATCAAAACCATTCAAGATCCAGATTCCAGATGCGGAAACGCCTGCAATATGTTGTGATATGGTGGGTTGATGTGGGTTGAACCCAGTTGCCCATGATTCAAAACCATTTTTTGGGGTTTTATCTGAAAATAGGGTACCCCTAACCTCAATCCATTAATTAATCATGCTAGATATCATGCTCAATCCTCATTTTTGGATTTTCCCCATGAAAATTGCCATTTAGATTTTATTTTTTTTGAAGACACATTATACCGCTTTGAATTCGATGTTGACAACTGTGCAGCAAGGTTTTTCACCGCTGTGCAACAGGTATTTCATGATTTACAATCTCACCCTGACAACCTCCAAAATGCTGGCTGCGTCTGGGCCGGATGCTTGAGTTTCCCTAGAGGGTAACCCCACTAGAGAAGGTGTACATAGATAAATGGGGGATTCTTAAAATGGGGGATCCAATACTAAAATGGCCTAATGACTTGGATGATTTAGGGGTAATTACCCGGATTTCAAGAAACCCCTAAATGTTTATAGCCTTTTATTTGTTGGGTTTACAGGAGTTAATCGTGTGCGCAAAACAGACCTACTTGGCTTTCTTTGAACATTGGGGATACCTCTGAAAATGGGGGATACTTCAAAATAGTGGGATACACCATTATCACCCCAAGGATTAAAGCCTGTTAGTGAGTGCATTTATACAACAAGTGATTGTAGATTGATGATGATTGATGTAGATGGCACAAGCTCAATTAGGGGATATAATTACAAACCAGATTTTTAACCATCTACTGATCGGGATTGTCCTCCAAGTAGTGGTTGATAGGTTTCACTGGACTGAGCAGATCTCCAGCCCGGGTGACTTCTAGCTTTTCTATGGCGAGGGAAAAATTGGTTGGATTTCTTCATCTAATTTCCAGTCAGAATGTTCAAGAAGACATGAACTAGCCCAAAAACAAAACCGAAGCAGATTGCGTAGTTGGTACTCTGTTAATATTGATATATTGGACATTAAGAACATCATGAATCATTATCCAATTGGACATTGAAAACTATGATAAATGTTGCTTGTACTTTCCAAGATTTTTTAAAGACCTTCCACTTTTTCCATATTGCCAACATTGTCTGGATCCATGTTTGGAAGACTCTTATATTTCTAGTAAAGACCTAAAAAAAGATACCCTTTGGTTATGTAACATAGCCATAGAAAATCACCATTTTTAATAGGTAAACCATCTATAAATGGGCCATTTTCCATTAAAAGTGGATTTTCCCATTAAAAATTGTGATTTTCCCATAAAAAATGGTGATTTTCCATAGTTTTTTGTATGTTTACCAGAGGGTAAAGACCTAAAAAAAGATAGACCGTACTACTTGAAGTCCCAAGTTCTTGGGGTAGTTCACACGGACCTGGGTCGAGCTCGGAGCATTTTTTTGCAGATCGGTAGTTTACCCCCAATTCACCATATCAAAAAGAAAAGGCATATGAGTATAAACAAACATAAACTATGAAAAGACATCACAAAACACTAAAAAATGGGGCCCCCACAGCGTTACACTCTCCAAATTTGGTGGTGACACCTTAAAAACTCCGAGAAAATTCGCTGATTCTGAGGTCATATGGATGGACTCCACCTATGCAGAATGGCAGCCTCTTGGATCGAAGGCTTGCAAAATTTGAAGATCTGAATGGGGCAGAAAAATCCATTTTTCATAGGAACTTAAGATGGAAATCCTGACTTTGAGGTGTATGAGATGTGTGTTTATGTATGTATGAATGTATGTATGTATGTATGTATGTATATATATATATATATATGGGGGCTTCCTAAAATAGGGGTACACCCAGACCATCCAAGTCATTAGGCCAATTTTCGTATTGAAACCTATGGTTTTTGGGGAACCACCGGTGGATGGGCCAAGTCAGATGAAAACATGTTGGGACGGAGCAAGCCGCAAGATACCACTGTTTTCTCATCAGTTTCCCATATTATTCCTATGAACATAATGATCTAAGGGGTGATACATGGTCATACTCCATTTTCAGAAGAAGTTGACAAAAATTGGGATTTAACCACAACATAGGTTTTAAAACCGTGGGCACCGGACGTATAATCCAGAACTTATGGTCGGTTGGTTATGACATAGCGGATGGTCAATCTTAGTAAAGCAATAGGATCCACCATCCCCAAGTCATCACCATTTTTATGGGTGGTATAAACCACCGACTCCTTCGGGGTGGTTTATTACCCAACATGCACCCAGGTTTTTTTCATGGCCTCCCTGGGGGAACGAGACAAAAGACGTTTTTTTACATGGTCATGTTTAGGTTAAGGTGATCATCAAAAATCGGATCTCAAAAATTGATCTAGTTACTGGGGTACTGTGGGTAAAACAATAAAAAAACATCCATTTGGGAATGGTTTATACCAACTATTTATGGTGATGACTGGGGGATGGTTTATTATTACCACCATTTAATCAATAGGATTTCTCCAGGATCCTAAAATGGAGGTACGTTAGTACCATATTTTTGACCATATTTGGAGGATTTTGGAGGTATATCCCCTTACATAGGCCTGAAAAATAGGCCAAAAATATATGGTAGGTACCTCCAATAAATCGGTTCCTGAAATGGCCATTGATGTGATGGGATATACACCCCAATTATTTGCTTGTTGGTTTTTGCACCCCATTAACTTGTTCGACGCTTCGACATATCTACCATAAACCCAGTCCTTAACCTAGTGAAACAAACCAACTCAGCTATTGCGGTTGACAATGGTTTTTGATCTTTGGTTGAAATTTCTACATCTATTACCCTCTGGTAATTTAACAGTTTGCGACACAGAAAATGGTCATAGAAATACTGTTCTCAGCTAAAACCTGGTGATTTTCCATCGTTTTTTTCTATGTTTCCCAGAGGGTAATACGTTGATTGAGCGGAGTGCGCCTCCGAGAACAATTCTTTGCGGATTATCTGATGAAAAACGCTGATTCATGCCACGATAAATGACATGATTTATGCCCCTCAACCTGAGGTGGTCAAAAAAGTTTTCTGCCCCAATTCTGGGCAAAATCCCGGGTATACTGTACCTATATGGGTATGAATCAAAGCCTTCATACAGTGAATAAACATCAACCCGTTTGGTGGTAAAAAACCTGGTAAAACATGGTTTCATGAGGGTTTTGACCACACGCCCGCCGTATTTGTTTCACCACCTGGTGACTAGATGGTAAACATTTCACCTCGTTCATATTAAACACCCCCAGAAAACCATGGTGGATGTAGGGGATGAAATCACTTATTTGGGACCAGAGCAAGAGGACGTTTAAAATGAACGGGGGATGGGATTAGATAGATTGAACTAGACTAGTTCATAGAAGTTGTAGAAAGTTGTAGACTAAGAAACATGACTGGGGGCACCACATTGGATTCAATTTAAGGAGTCAAACATATTTGAATCCTTTTGAAACTAATGAGATCGAATGAAGGTATACCCTATTTATGGAGACAATTTTCTGGAAGCTAAGCGGGTGTTGCCATGCAGATGTAGGCATGACCCTCGCCCAATGCACCACATATGTATTTCGACAGATAGATGGTAATGATTATTGGCACTCGCATTTTACCCATACCCAGATAGGTATAGATGGTATAGGCACTTTAAACACATTTGTTTTGCGACATTCCCAGGCTTCTGGGAATGGGTTTCAACATGTTTCAACGGCCTTTTTCTTCGACCTTTCAACGTACGCCATGGTCAGGTTCATGCTAACAGATGTGGCGCTCGCTATGGTCATGGTGTCGTTGCTCGGCAGCCGATCCAGGTCGCCAGGTCGGTCTGGTAAAGAATATGGGGATTTAGCATGATAGATAGTATCATTTTGAATATTTAATAGATATTATCATTATTATAAATATCATTATCATTATAGGGATAATGGGCTATAATATATAATGAAATATAGTAGATTCAGTAAGATGTTATTCAGTATGATTTGGCATGATCTAACCATCAAGTATGAGTTTAAATCCTGCAAACATCGGGACTCATGATGGCTACTTTGGCTACTAGAAGGGGGGGTTTAAGCATCACACAACACGGTGTTGACCATAAAAAAAAACGGATTTCGAAAAACAACAACAATACCAAGTGAAACATCTAATCTAATGGATATTTAATGGTTGATATTTAATTGATTATCCATTAAATATCCCCAATATTTTTTTGTTGATTGTTGATTAGCTATGATGTTTCGCTGTTTCCTGGTGTGAATTCATAGCAGTTGACTGCCAGGTTTGAAGCTTCCTGGATCCCTTATGTTGGGTAAATCTTGGAATTTTGGTGGTATAATCTGGGTAAATTATAACGACCTCACTGCGACCTCACTGGGAATCATGGTTAATAAGGGAAATCATCCCCAAATGGCCTTAATTCAGGTTAGTGAAATATTATAATTTACCCAGTATAATGGTTGACAACGGATATTTCATGGATATTTTTCATGGGATAGCCTCCTCTGTGGCATCAAGAAATTCAGGCCGTGATTTTTGAGACATTTCAATGGAACTCAGGAAGCTGGGGGGTAGCACCTTGATGGTGACATATGTTGTTCTTTAGATTTAGAACATACCCTCTGGTAAACTAACATAACTCTGGAAAATCACAATTTTTAATGGGTAAATCAACTATAAATGACCATTTTCAATAGCTATGTTAGTTTACTGCCAGAGGGTAGAACATACATGTGATGTACATGAACATCATTGTACCACAGACGCGAAGATCATGTTCTTTCAATGCACCAGTCTCACAGAAATGGTATAGGATAGTATAGGCACATTCTCTGGTCTTGCCCATATAGGCCTACTGGCCCCTTCCACCTCTAGCTTGGCTTGGCGTGCTGCCCGTGGCTTCAAGATCTTCTATGTATTTTAGTGACTTCTTTCGGCCAGAAGGACGCAAAGCCTGGATTTTTTCGAAAAGCATACAGCCAACATCGTTTGTTTTGCCACCACATTGCGGTTCAGAAACATGACTTGTAGCCCCACGGCTGGTGATGGCCGACAGAACTGGCACTGTGGCAAGACGGCAAGGTCGTGACCATGATTTCGCCACCAAAAACGCTGGTTCTATGGTTGTTACACCAGTTTGACCAAGAATTGTTTGATGTACTTGCCATAAACTTATTGAAGACCTGGGGGTATCTTGGTTGTCTACCCATGCTGATCTGGTTCCATTCAATATCCAGGAAATTGGACGGAAACTGAGCCTGAAATAGTTGGACATAGCTAGCTTGTTCCTGGTAGTTGTCCTCCAATGAATTGTCGCCATTTGAAAATCTGCGGGATCAACCCATCACATTTAATCATAGCATATCATAGCCATTATCACATTATAGTGAGTATATGTGAGTATAATATAACCACTACTATCACCAATAGACATGTATCCATGCAGAATACCAGAGGGTTATGAGTAATTATACCTCATTTCCCAGGCATTTCCCAAGCATTTCCAGAGTGGTGTAGTTTGTACATGTTTGTACAAACCCATCCACTTTAACTATTATGTACTTTATACTATTAACTATACAATACTTTATACTATACTGTATATACGTCATTTTAGTATTTGATGGTGATTAGGACACTCCTAAGATCACCAATAGATCTCTCTCTCTCTCTCATAGATGGAGGTTTCCTAAAATGGGGGTACCCACAAATCATCAGTTTTAATATGTTTAATAGGGTTTTCTATTATATAGCATCCAGCTATTGGGGTACCCCCATTTTAGGAACCCCCCAAATATGTGTGTATATATATACACAGATGTGACGGCAGGAAATGTGCTGTTTCCCAAAGGCTTGGCACTTTACCAATCCCCGTGCTACCACATATTATAATATATATATATATTTTATGTATATATATATAGCTATATATATATATACAGACATGTTAAGCCAACAAGAAGTCTGCTGTTTAAGGAAAACCCTTCCCTGGCTTTCTGCAGTGCCAGGTTTATGGTTCGTTGTCGACCGATCCAAAGACTGTCGATGACTTCTCCCAGTGCTTCGCTCTTTGGGATTGGCACCATGGTGACCATCCTCAGCGTTTGCTGGATGCATTTTTCGGCTTTGGTGGCGATGGTTGGCTAGAGATCCAGGGGTTGGATCTGGGTTGGCTGAGTAATGAAATAACGAGCCTGGATTGTTCTCAAAAAAGAAGCCTGGAATCATGTTTAGTATAGATAGTATAGGGAATTATCCCAATATTAGCCTTATTTCAGGTCAGTGAATTAGTATAATTTACCCAGTTGAATGGGTTTAATGGGAATATCATATCTATCATTAAATCAAATGGGATTAGAGCAACAATGGTAAATCCGAAATTTACCCTGGGGTCAACAGACAGAAAGAATCAGGAAGATGTGGAAAACCCGTGGGGTTTCCCGTCCGGACAATGATCCTCTCAGCTTTGGTGGGTTTTCCTCCACATGACAGGAGGGTAAGACCCAGAGGACCACAGATCTAATTACTGTCAACCCCGGATCCATAAACCATGGTTTATTAATTCGGGGGGTATTCTCCCAAGAGTCATGATTTGATACTTTTTTATGGTACTTTCCCAACTAAATAGCCCAGGGGTTTATTAATCCAGGGTTGACATTAGATCTAATTCTTGGGGTACCAATTTTGACCCATACCCATGTGGCCAGTGGACAATGATGTACGTATCATTCCGTTTTTTTGTGGTCGGAGAACTTACTCGGATTAGTACTGAAGAAAAATATCTTATACCCTCTATTAAATTAACATAGACCCTGCCAGATAAGGGTTGGAAGATTAGTTTCCACCAAGAATTGGTGATTTTCAGGATCTATGTTAATTTACTAGAGGGCAACTATTTTTCTTTCTATGTGCGTCCACACTTAAGATTTGTGGGATATAGCCCAGTCATATATGGGTTGTGAACGGGACATCTATTTCCAACTATATATATATATATCATTGGGAAATTCGTTGAATACATGGAAAGATGGAGTTTACATGTCAAACTTCAATGGGAGAGTTTAAATTTGAGGGCAGTTCCACTTAGTATGTACACCGTGATGATGAAGTAATAGGGGTTATATCTCAACTTATGGCAGCTATTACCTTGGTTATATCCATTACTCACCCTAACTGACAAGGATATAATGATATAGCCATGGAAAGAATTCCCACCTACTTATTGAGTGGAACTGTACCCCCAAGTAATCCCATCCTCCCAAATCAAACCCCACCCACATGCCATGGTGGATGTAGGGGATTTACACATCGGGATCCATTTCGTGGGTGTTTGATATGAACGGAGGATGAGATGCTGTTCCCATTATTCATCATGATTATCCTATGATTGTTCTGTGGTAAACTAACATAACTATGGAAAATCACCATTTTTTATGTGTAAATCAACTATACATGGCAATTTTCAATAGCTATGTTAGTTTACCAGAGGGTAATCATGGTGAGTTACCTATGATAATCCCTATTGCTGATGGTTAAATCCCTATGTTTGTTTTCCCTATGTATTTTCCATTGTCAATAAGTATGATCCCTCTATTTCCAGTAAAAAAACGGGGCTACCATTTGGCCCCCACTTTGCACGCCTAGGCCTTGTTGATTTTTTGGCTCACCGCGGGCGTGGCAGTATTGATGCTTCAGTATGGACCAGGTCGATCCTTTTACGAGTTCCTTGGTGCATCCCGTGACACTGAATCTCCCAGGGTGACGCCCCAGTTCGGAATCGCGATTGGTTGGTGCAAATAAGTCCTATGGTCCTAGGCTTTATGGAGGTTATATCATGTTATATCTATAGTTCATGGGAATTATAAACCAACTCGGGGGTGCCAATAAGTCCAATAACTATGGTTTTTATAGGTGATATATCCAACTAGTCAATGGGATTATAAGCCATTTATAACTGGGGAGGCACCACCTTGCCGGTCATAAGATGGTTTTTCCTGTCACATCTGCACGTAGATCTACCATAAACCTGGGCGAAAACATGTCTTCAGGGTCCCACTTTGGATCATCATGGATCATCATGGTGAGAAACCCATGGATCAAACCCCCATTTTGAGCCGTTCGATCATCATTCCCAATTCTTCCCAGTAGATTTTACAGTAAAATTCCTTTAAACCACCAATCTCATTAACATTATTCCAGAAAAAAAATGAGTATTTTGGATGTCAAATCCATTCAAATGCCTATTTTCCACATTTCTAGATGAATTTTTCTTTTCCACATTTTTAAAAGATGATTATCCCCTATATTTATTTCCACTATCTCCAGTGTTTTTTTCGGTTCCCTTCAACGCTTCCCCACCGCTTACGGCGGAGGTTCAGCACCTCGATTTTGCTGGAGATTCCACCCCAGCAATGGACCCGGAAGGCCGACAACTACCTGATGGAGTCTCGGTGGCACTGGTTGGTGGTTTGGAACATGGCTATTGAAAATGGTGGTTAATCATGGTTAATAATGGTTAATAATGGATAACCAAGGATTATTTTTATTTCACAGGAACAAAAACCTTAACAGAGATTTTTTACCAGTTTGCTGAAGCCATGACCCACTGAGTTCGATGATTTACCATCTGGTTATTGAACAGTTTGCCATGGAAAACGGCCCATGGATAGTGGATTTACCTATTAAAAATGGTGATTATATTCTGGTTGGTGGTTTGGAACATGGCTATTTAAAATGGTGGTTAATCATGGTTAATCATGGTTAATAATGGTTAATAATGGTTAATAATGGTTAATAATGGATAACCAAGGATTATTTTTATTTCACAGGAACAAAAACCTTAACAGAGATTTTTTACCAGTTTGCTGAAGCCATGACCCACTGAGTTCGATGATTTACCATCTGGTTATTGAACAGTTTGCCATGGAAAACGGCCCATTGATAGTGGATTTACCTATTAAAAATGATGATTTTTCATTTTGTTTTGGAAGCCACCTTGTATGTCTTAACCTATGTAGTTTTTCCATGTTTTTCCTATGTTTGATTGACTTGAACGCAGATCGGAATGTAAGCATTGGTCTTGGTGTAATTTTGTTAGTAGGTTATCAACCTTAGGACATTTGGATTTGAACGACGTAGGTTGATAACCTAAAGATACTAATTTTATTAACCTTTGTTAGTAGGTTATCAACCTTTGAACATACTAATTTTCCTTGTTTGCCTTGTTCATTGGTATCTTGAATCAGCGACAAGGTTGTAGGCGCTACAAGGTGGGGGTGAACTCGGCCCGAGAACTCGAACGCCAGGGTTGGCTAAACGAAGGAACGAACGAAACAATTCGATGATATAGACCAACACATAACTAGACTTCGCTTAGTTTAGTTCATGGCTTGTATAATCCAACACATAACTACACTTCGCCCAATGGGGTTTAAACACAGATATATATATATATATAAACATAGTTGCAGATCGCTTAGTCGGTTTTTTGCTTATCCAACCGACCTTCACCCCTTTTTTTTCGGCCCCACTTCCCGAGGCCACACTGTTCCTGGTGAATCTCACGGTGCTGCTGAACGCTGGCTTTGTGTGCCGTGGCCGCCCTGATTTGTTATAGTCAATAGACTTACTGCTGCTTAGCAGGGAATGAGGGAATGATCCACAATAAGTATCAATAATCATCCCATTCCCCCCCATCCATTCCCTACGTTTAGCACCAGTAAGTAGATTGGCTTAAGAGAAAATCTTCACCCGAAACCGTGCCTACCTTCTGGCAATCATGGCTGGCAGATGCTGCAGGGAGAATCAACGGCATATTTTTAGGGGTTCCTAAAAGGTGAGTACCCGAAAATAGATGGTTTATAATCGTAAACCCCCCAAAAAAATGGATGATTTGGGTGTACCCCCATTCTAGGAAACACCCATCATAATCATATCTATCAATGGGGTAACTCGTCAATTTTTTGGATAGCACAGGTATCTATCAAAGGCTGATTTCCATTGCGTAAACCCAATGCAAAAACACCATCCCAGTCATCATTTGAGGGTCATCACCTACATCATCCCGCTACTGTAAGGGTAGAGCCCACATTTCAAACGAAAAAAACGGGCTTGGTTTGTTGTAATTACATTAATTACTCATTTCCCCAAATAATGATCCCATATGTATCCCATATTTTTCCAAAATGACCCAAAATCATCGGATATAAAACCACCATAATTTCTGCCTCAAGAAAATTGCTGCCCATCACACTCAGCATCTCAGGCTTTGCTATGGCCACATTCATCGGCAGATGGTGGGTGCTTTGGCACAGACCGGTTGGGAATTTCAGGACTACCCAGTGGTCGTTGTTGAAGGCCCATGGGGAGAGCAAAAATGGAGGACTCATCCATTTTAATGGGATTTTCCATTGTAAACCGTCAATTTTTGGGTACCCCTCATTCTAGGAACCCCTAAATGAATAATTCTAGTGGGACGTAGTGGGATAGAATGGGATTGTATTCGTTGTACTGCACCAACTATTTGATGGTTTTAGGTGCCTCGTGATTATCTACAGAGGTTTGTCCTTAAACATGTGGGGATGTAGCGATTTTGATCCTAAACCAATGGGTTTGTCTGGCTCGGTGTTGGTAAAACCGCAAGATCTCATGGTTGAAACAGCCATGGAGACATGGAGAGCAAGATGTATGTTCTAAGTAGGGTCATCTAGTCATGTATTCCATTTACAGAGTGTACACATATGTATATATGGTGATCGATCTAAAGGTCCTTGTAAGGAGTTTTAATTGCGAAAGCCGTGCGTGTTATGTTGGAAACCCTCGCGAAAGTTTTTTTTTTCGAGTTCGCGAAAGTAAAATTTTATTTCGCGAAAGTTTCGCGAAAGTTGGGTATTATAATCATTATATGTAAAGGGCAGCCACCCACTGCCGCCCGGGGTCCGGCAGGAGAAGGGCACCAGAGAATGCGAGTAGCAGTAGCCAAGTTTCCAAAAGTGAGGCTTCGCGAGAGCCAAACACCAAGGCCCCTGGTCTTCGCTTTTCCTTCAGTGCACCCCCTGCTGATGGCCGGGGTCTGTGAATAGGGATATTTTCGCGAAAGTTCCGCGAAAGTCATGCGAAAGAGCGGGCGAAAGTCAAAGTGCATGTTGAAGGGGGTGGGCCAGTAAACTTTGCACAAAAGAATCTGTCCTGAGAAGGGATTCCGTGATGCTAGCTGCATGTTTAAAAGGCTACCAAGAAGTGATCCGTGATTCTCTGGCGTAATTTGGCAGGTGGTGAACGAATCTTCATAAGAGGTGTTGTTGGCCAACATGGGCCCCGCGAAAGATAAACATGGAGTTCGCGAAAGTTTCGCGAAAGTAAAATTTTTATTCGCGAAGAATGGCCGTTCCGGGATAAAGGAATTTTGATCAACAACCATATATATATATTGATTGCTCGTTTGTATATATGATGTTGTAATAAAAAATATAAATTAATGCATGTGTGGTGGTTTACTGGAGGCCACATCAATATCAAGTCCTTGATAGCTAAGTCGCGATTGTGTTTGGAGTGAACTATAGTGACTATAGTGATTCATTTAGGGAAATATCATTAAATACCTGCTGGTCAATTAACATAGCTATGGAACGAGTTACTATTTTTGATTGTAAATAATCATAAATCATCAATGGGCCATAGCCTCCCAAAAACTCAGAGGCCATCAACCAGAGGCCATCAAACCCTTTCTACAACCGAGAACTCTTGACTTCAACCAGAGTCAGAGGCCCACACCAACCCTTTCTACAACCGAGGCAAGAATTGGCGAATCTGCAGTTTCTACATTCTGGGTATCCTTTTTACGCTTGCTCTGACTTGGTCGAATCCCTCGGAGTTCAGTTGCCACTGATCTCAATGGAAAGGGATGACCGGATGACCAGGATCCCGACCTAGGGCCCAAAGGGGCACGTTTTTTTGCGGCTACGGTAGACATATTGGTTCATATCAATAGGTATACTCATATCATCTATAACCATATTATATAGTAGTTATTAATAGGTATACTAACATCATATATCCATACATCCATGCATGCATGCTTACATACATACATATATATTCATATGTGTATATATATATACATATCCATGTATTTTGCATGCATTCTGGATTGAAAGCATATATACTTGGTGAGATCTGCCCAGACTTGGCCGACACAAAACGCCCAAGTCTGAAGGTACCAGTTTTTGGGTCCCTAGCCATAAAGACAAATACTATGTGTACACAAAGACATTAAAGATACGTTATATATATACATCATCAGAGTATAAAGGGTATATATTATATATATACAGTATATATATCCTTTCTAAACCCATCTGTAAACCATATATAAACCATACATAAACCATACGTAAACCATATATGAACCATATATGAACCATATATGAACCATATATGAACCATATATGAACCATATAGAAACCATATATCAACCATATATCAACCATATATGAACCATATATATATATATATACAAACCGTGTATAAACCATTTATAAACCTGGGAATTCACCACTTGGCCGCCATGGTCCAAGGTACCTTCCGAGTGAATTGCGATTCGGCCCCTTGGATCTCATGACAGCAACATACGATATCTATATAATTTATGGGTAATATGTTAATATTGATATAGATATATGGGGATATAATATGTTAATCTACACTAGATGAGTATATATATAATCTACATATAAAAGTATCTCATAGTATTTTGTAGTAATGTACATCGTTTTTGTTTTTTATAACATAGATATTTTGAATGACCAACACTGGGGGGACAACGTCGAGGCGGCGTCGCAGAAGATGAGCCTTCCACTTCTCAGCAAACCGGTACCTCGGTGTCGTGCGGCGGGGCTCGGTTTGGTGTGGCTGATGGCGAACTGATGGCTGGAAAGACAAGGAAAAAGCCACGAGTTAATGGCTGAAACCCTATATAAATAATAGTTGAAACCCTATGAATAATGGGATAAACCATCTATCAACTGGTGCAGGATTTCGCAACCATCCACAGTAGTTCATGGCTGAATAAATGGTTATCCATGGTGAATGATAGCTTAACATATGCTTAACCATGATTAATAATGGGATATGAAAAATGGGATAGTTCATGGGATTCTTATAGATCTGGGTAAAAAACGTAGGAAAGCCAATGCCATAAACCTAATGTGGGGATGGTTTTTCAATGCCATTAGTCGCCATGGTGATGACGACTGGGGATGGTCAAATTGGCTGAATCCCACATGATTCTCATCCAGGTCGGAAACTGGAAATTCACTAGAGGAATCGATGAAGGGAATATGTCTGCTACAGGGTCCCGGATAGGAAACTTCAAGAGCTTTTGTGCTGTGACGGTGATTCGTAACAGATCCCCCATTACTCCATGTTTTTTTGGCTTGTTTGGGTTTGTTCAGAAGGCACCATATTCCATCCGATGGTCTTAAAATAGTGTTTAGTCCATGGCCAGTTGTAGCCATTTCTGTGCAAACCCATATCCATTATTCATTGCTTTAATCCCCATTTGGGCTGTTTACATGTTTTGCTGCATTTAGACTTATTTCTCATGTTTGAGGATTGAATCTCCATTTTGGTTGGTCAAATCCCATCAAATTCCCATTTCGGGGCTGGGTAAATCCCCATCCTTTTTGCACGGTGAATGTCCTTTTTTCGCACGGCTGCCCAACAGCCACAGGTGGGTGGCGTGATCTTTTCCAGGGGCAACTTGGGCGGTTGCTTCTGGGGCCCACAGATGTTGAGCTGCAAAAGCCAGGCTGTAAGGGGCCAGGGGGGGAAGGGTCCAATGTCATGTGGGTCATAGTCAAGAAGGCCCGAGATCATCATCACCAGCATCAGCATCAGCATCAGCATCAGCATCAGCATCAGCATCAGCATCATCAGCATCATCATCATCATCATCATCACCACCAGCACCATCCTCATCCTCATCCTCATCCTCATCCTCACCATCACCATCACCATCACCATCACCATCACCATCATCATCACCATTACCATCATCATCACCATCATCATCATCATCATCATCATCATCATCATCATCATCGTCATCGTCATCGTCATCGTCATGGTCATCATCACCATCATCATCATCATCATCACCACCATCATCATCATCATCATCACCATCATCATCATCATCATTATCATCATCACCATCATCATCATCATCATCATCATCATCATCATCATCATCAGTATCATTATTATCATTATCATCACTTCAAAGGCAGATTCAAGTTCTTCCATGCATTGACCGAACTACGAACGGGTGATTTTGCATCGGGGTGAAGCCGAGGGCCCTGGGAAAGTTTGAATGGGTGCAATACAAGCCGTCATGTGGATAGAACGGGATAGAATGGGATATCATACCTTACCAACAATCTGATTTGGGTTTGTCTCACAATGCGGTTCCACGCAGGAAAACATACTCACACGGGGTCCAAATGTAGGACAAGCCCAGATCAAGAAACGCCAGAGATTTGAATCAGCAAAAGTGGTGTTTCAGCCGGTTCTTTCAGGGTCGCTTTGTTTGTGACTGCGTTCACTACAGGAGTTGTCATTGCTCAGGATTGATATCACTATTAGTGAGTGTGAGTGTTTTACGGACCACACCCTAGTTCATCCCCTTAACTGCAGGGGTGGGGTAGCGGCCCGCTTGTCCGCCTAGTGTTGCACCCGGGTATTGAACCCGGGTCTGACGCATGAGGGATGCGTCTTATCGATATCACTATTAGTTGAACATAGTTGAACTATAGTACTGTAGTAAATGGTACCTGCAAGTGTCTTGACCACTTGTGCCTGCAGTTTGGGAATATCAGCAACCAATACAGTAAATGATACTTACTGTACCTAGTTAACGTTAGTTTGCTCTCAAATTTCTTGCAGTCAGATGGATATGGGTCAAAATCAAAAGGGATGTACATGCGCATTTTTTAGCAATATGTCCAAAAGGTACTGTCAATGTTCAAGAGTTTTGCAGGTAAGGTATTTGAACCCATACTTCTCTCTTGCAGTTGCATTATTAAATTTATTTTGATTGATGACATTTCGCCCCATTTGATTTTGTTTATCACCCGACTAGCATCGGAAACCCGGCCGTGTGAATGTGAGTCGCATATGATGCATGTAAGACATATTTACCAACATTATCCAACATTTATACAATGTACGTTTTCAAATGTTTTCAATTAAATCCTGACAAATACCGTACAATGAGCATTTAGGCAGTTTGTTGAATGTGCCGATTAAATTCAGAGTAAATCCCCGTTGAATCGAATTTGAATATATGTCTCAATATCCAAAACCAAAATTTATCCAAACACTCTTGAAAAGTACATATATCAATCAACCAAGTATTATCCGCATCTCCCAAATGTTATCCCATCTACCCGGCGGTAATCAAATTGTGGCAATGGAAACTCCTTGAAAGTCCAATATGTATATTTCTGAATGTCCTATTGAAACCTCAATTTTCCCATTAAAACCTTCATTTTACCATTGCAACCATCATTGTCCCAGTAAAACCTTCATTTTCTCCTTGAAAAAACCAGCCCCGAAAAACTGCCAGGAGCATCGGTGCTGGGTGACCCCTCCGAACAATGCCAACTTACCTCCCAGTTGGGCGGCGAGAAACAGTACCCTTCGGCCCAAGGAGTGGCGGGCTGGGAGAGGTCTGGCCAAACTTACCGGAGAACTGGGGAGAGTGGAGGCTTTAACCAGTTTAACATAGTTTAACTGTTTAACCAATTTCATCAGTGGTTTTTGTCACAGTTTTTGCCATGATGATGATGATGATGATGATGATGATTTCGCTAGTCAAAATGGTGGTACAAAAGACCGGTAGAATCACCATGAGACTGAAGCAACATCGAAGTCAAGTAGGCATGGCCGTTTTGAGGGCCTGTGCGTCGATATGGATATTTCGGGTCAGTCCTAGAGTGAATGGAGGGAGATGAGGGAGCGATGAGCTGAGTCCGGAGTATCCAGATTCCCAACAGCCATGTGGAGCCAGTTGGAGCGTCATATATGATGGTTATTGGTGGCTCGATGTGATATGTGCAGGTCCCATCAAATGACCATATCCATATCCTATATCCATATCCCATTGAATACCATATTAATGATACCTCACACAGTACCATTGGATAATCATTTGTTTCCTATGGAAAATGGCACTCTCCATTCAGCATCATGGAGATTCGGTGATTCGCACAGGAAATTCAGGTCAGTTGAGAACCAACCTCCATGGAACAGGTCATTGTTCCATTCGCAGCCAGTTATAAACTCCCATATTTATTGGTGATTTGGTAAGCCATCATTTATATAACAATATGAATAATTTATTTAACATCAGCATTCCTCAGTTACTCTGTCAACATTGCCATAGATTCTTTTTAGATGCGGAGTTGACCCACCATTTGTAGATTTTTTGGGGTTTCCAGAGTCATGGAGGGACAACAAAAATAGATGGATGGTTTACAAAGGAAAACCATATTGAAATGGATGATTTGGGGGTACCCTCTTGTACGCTATGGAAAATCACAATTCTATAGCTGGGTAAATCAACGATTTAACTATGACCATTTTCAATAGCAAACTGTTAGTTTACCAGGCCGGGTATCCCATTAATATCCCATTGAATCACTATAAAATCCCATTAAATCACAATTAAAATCCCATTTTTCATGGAAAATCACCATTGTTAACCCATTGTAAAACCATTAAATCACCATTAAACAACCATTTTTAGTGGTTAAATCACCACTTTCCCCAGATTTTCCAGGCCCCTTTTGATGAAGCTTGGCGTATCGCCGTTTCGATCCGCGGTGCCAGGTCCACCCCAAAATGTCGTCCCCCAAAAAGATGGGCGAAGAGTCATGGAGTTTCTCATCTTTTCTGGGACTGATATAGGAGCTCACTATTAATATCCCATGACGGATCCATGGTGCTGCTATATATGCTAACATTGGGGGTATATTGATGGTAAATGTTACCATATATAGCATACATGGATCCTATTAATATGAGATTATCAGAATATGAGATTATATGTATTATATGAATGAATACTCTGCTAGAAGCCATGGAATTTTGTCTTGGATCAATGCTTTTTTGTCTGTGCATCTGGGGCATGGAATATCAGGGGAAAGAGATTCCTAGACCTGACATCGGCTTGATCCCGGCCTGGCATGTTTTTCCACCACAACAATCAACAATACTTGAAGCACAATCGGGTTTGATACAGATACCTGGGCTACCATCATATACTGCCTTTTCTCATCCTTGGGGCGTGACTGCTCTGGCGTCACTGTCCCCGCCAAGACAAACTTTTCTAATCCTTTGAGTTTTTTAGGACAGCATGCATGTGTGGAGTGTGTTTCTTCTGACATATGCAAAAGTGAGTTGCTCATGCTACTGTGTTCATGCTACTACTACACATCGCGAAATTCCAGACATTTTCTGTCGCCTATGTGTATCTTTTGTGCACACTACCCTTTGTATCTGCACAATGAACTGTCAGGTGATGAGGATGAGGATGAGGATGAGGATGATGATGATGATGATGATGATGGTGGTGGTGGTGATGATGACGACGACGATGACGTAGCCTACAAAGATCCACAACAAATGGATTTGTCTGGGTGCCCCATTCTACTCACGGGTTAATCATCAGTTTCCCTATTAATATCGTAATTTGGGGGTATACCTCATGTTCAGACACACTGAAAAAAGATCCACAGAACCAACCCTCTTCAACCAAAAATAAACCCCACGAATCACCGATAAACCCAGTATCCCTTCCCAGAACCTATGAAATGCAATGTTTTTTTTGATGAACATCCATGACTCCCAGCCAAGTTATCCAAGTTGGTGTGAACAGAAGGGTGACCATCAACCAGTGAAAACTGAGGGTGGAAGCGCCATTAGACCCCAGAAACCCCTATATTTGGATATATATATATACACATAGAGATACTGGCCATTAGTACGGGATGACCAATTTTCTGTTAACATGACTAAGCCCTTTTTGGGGCAGCCTTTGGGTATATTCATATATATTCAACACGTGACACCGCATCAGCCGTATGTATGCGGCTGACTCACACCGAGACACGAGAAGAGAAGATGAAGTTCTGCAAGAAACATCCGCAGCCTGATCTGTTGGGGTTGACATGGGTTGACCTTCTGGGCGGCTTAGAACTGGAGCAACTGGAGCAAAGGATCCCACGAATTCTTCATGACAGCAACACGTTGGGAATGTGCTCGTTTCATGGGAAAACCAAAATGCTAATTCAACTGGGAATTCAACCATCATTTTTAATGGAAATTCATGGGGCCCCATCATATGATATCATTGGACTGAAGCTGTGGATATTATCATTATTACTATTTTTTTTTATGATGATGATGATGATTATTATTATATATATATTTTTTTTTTCGCCAATTACTACATAGCTATCATTTGCCCATGTCTTTCACTGCAGTAGAAAGGAGTGGATTGTTTGCAGTACACAATTTTTTTTCAGACCATTTGCGTTTCCAAATTGGGTTTCCAGCCCCAGATCGTCTGTTGAATCCAAGTAAACAACATAGTACCCCAGGGATCCCCAGGGTACATTGTAGACGATAAGTTAAATCCTGGGGAAAATTTACGGGGTTTCCCTCCAGGCTTTTCCACATCGAAATCTTCGGTTTTTGGCGAACCAAAAGTCCTGGGATGGTCCTGGGGATTCATGAACTTTCCCAGTGATTTTCGCGGATCCCCCAACTACAATGTGGGTTAAACCCACTTATGAGTAGGTTTCTAGACCCCCTTGACAAACAAAATATACCATGTTATACCTACCATAAACATCCATAAACCACGTTGTGAACCTAGTGAACTAAACCAACTTAGCTCTTTGTAGCTTGATCAACATGGTGATGGATTGTAAGAACACCTTGCACAGTGGATGTGAATTCTTCGATGCGACAGTCGACATTCTGGAAAAGTTGGACATTGGAAGAATCCGAGTTATCCAATACCATCAGCTATAATTGGCCATGTTCAATAGCTATGTTAAATTACCAGAGGATATCTTCCAACTTGTTTCTTTTTTAGTTGGAATATATTTTCAAGTTGTTGTACATGTTCCTGGACAACTTTTTTTTTTTGCAGGGGAAACACCCACAACACCTTGAGTTCCCGTTCAAAGCCTCAAAATGACTCTTCGAAGTCCAGCTGAGTTAGACCCTTCTCCAATATTGATCCATATCAACACACTACTCGTACTATAAGATATTATAGGCTTCGAAACTGATTCCATCCATAAAAAACAGGACATCAAAATTCCCGATCATGTTTTTTCAATACAAGAATCATCAAAGTTCGCATATCTTTACTGAGATGATGTTTCACTAAAGTACCCGGTACGGTAATTTGTTGCATAGCTGGCATAGCTATTGAACATGGCCCAGTCGAAATAGTTGAGTAAAATCTATGCAAAGTGGGGATTTTCCAGTTCGCTACAAGGTGGTGCCCCCAAGATAGCTAAGTTGGTTTGTAACTCTAATAACTAGGTAGTAACTAGGACTTATGGTAGATACTTAGATATATCTATAGTTAATGGGTTTATAAACCAGCTTATAACTTGGGGGGCACCACCTTGTATGTTAGTTTACCAGAGGCTACTCAACTCCGAGGGCCCCTCGCTGTCGAGGTATCGCGCGGATGCGAAGGACTTGGGAAACCAATGGTGTTGGCTGCCTGTCGACGACGCGTTGCGCCTTGGTGGTGGAACGTGAGGAATGTGGGCCGTGGGCGTTGATTCAATAAGATACTAGGTCAACCAACTGGATGGGTAGGTTGATCCTTTAATCTGTTTCTATTTTTAATATGTAAAAAAAACATGGTATAATCTTTAAACATGTTAAAAAAATGATCCTTTAATATGTTGCTATCTTTAATCTGTAAAAAATGCAGGGTATCCAAGATTGGCAATGAAAAAAGGGCTTCAAACGTTGTGTTCAACTCCTGCAAACTCATGGAATGGGATGCCAACTGACCAGTTTGTGCCACAAACAAATACTGTAGAGATAATATATATATATATGTTGGTATAATATAATACAACATATTATATGTATCTAGTGTTTTTGCATATATCTTACTTGAAGGATCATCCCACGAATCATAATTGGGAAATCATAGCCGTAGGAATCGGCGACTTACTAGCCAGGGGTTATTAACCAGTTATGATTCGTGGGATGATCCTAGAAGTATATCGAGAGTTTTTTGCGTCTGAGCTCTAACCCTATGTCAACCCCAGTCTTTTAAGAGAACCGGCTGAAAGAAGCTGAAAAAGATTGATCTATTGTATTGTCGCTTAAATATATCTAGAAGGATGCTTCTTAACAATCTAAGATATCCTTGCAATGTTTAACAGCCGTCGCATTTTGATGTTCTGTTCACCGAGGAGCCGTGGGTGCGGTCCCAGCCCCACCAGGGACCTGGGTCCCATGGTGGAGGGATGCCATGGCACCTTGGACCCCTTGGAGACAGGGGAGCATCACCAGGGGTGCGGGCCCCACTTAGTAAATATCGGTTCTGCCGTTCTACAAATATGGGGGTGGGTCAAAACCTATTATTATCAATTCTAATACATCCATTTACCAGCTATTTTGATGTTCACCAGGGGTACAAGGTTTTGACACACTGCCATATATGGAATATTCCCACTATGTGTTTTTTTGTTGGGGGTCATATATGGATTATATATGGTTATATCTGGATTATAAACCACATACTAAGTGGGATGTACATCCAGGCACCGAATATATGATGTGACGATTTTCGTCAAAACCCTGGTACCCAAACGGGACCCAAAAAATCGTTCCTTGGTGAACGGGTGTTGATTCCCCCAGTCAGGTGGTGACACTAGGTTTTGACCCATCCCCATATATATATACATACAGATATATATATATACATACAGATATATATATATACACATACAGATATATATATATATATACATATATATACATATATATATATATACATATATATATATATACATATATGTATATATATATATATTTAAACCTAAACATGACTGTATAAATTATAACCCTATGGCTATCAAGAACATTATTATAGTACTTATTCTTAATGACCATGGGGATCATTGGTCTATAGCATATTACCAACCATAATATATATATATATAAATAATATTTCAACAACATATGGTTGTTAAGCATTCATAATTTGACCCTACCACAGCTATATGGTGGTTAATATTTACAACCCATCACAGTTATCTATAATTCTGAGGCTTTAGCAATATTAAAACCCAGTTACATGGGATTTTCCCCATAGGTTTTCATCTTGGGCCATGGGCCATGGGGTGTTTCAAGCTGAGCTTGGCTAGCAACCTGGGTGAGCTAGTCACCAGTAGGTTATCCCATGGGTATTTCATGGTGCTTACTAAGCAGGAAAAACACCGTTGGGGATCCTGCAAGTAGGCTTCGGCTTGGGGCTTCCAGCTGGTGATTTTCATGGCGAAGATGGTGTCCTGATCCATTGGAATTTGAGATACATGATAATGTTGACGAACCTTTACGATAATGAATGAATATCATCGGATATTGGCATATATATATATATATAAGGCAGTAGTGGAAAATCTGATGCGGTATTTTTAAGCCGCAATATGATATTTTGGTTTCAATGGTACTTAGTGGCAAAAAAGGGACACCAAGGGCGCATTTTTCATGGATGAAATCACTCGATTTCATAGGACATTTCACAGGACATTTCATTGGTCAAGTGTTCACAGCATCTTTTTTTTGTATGGAGGAACGACGATGATTGAATATGAATGAAGGATAATACATTGAATCATTATATGATTGAAGGATAATACATTATACTTGCAATAATATCTCTAATATGTCCTTTTGTATGGAATATGAATCTATAATTGCATATCTTTATTATCTTGTATTCATGAGGACAAGAATAGCATCACGCCCACTCTTGACATATGTACATATTCTAATCTGATGTGGCTAGAATCCCAACAAATCATATAGCCCGATGTGGGCTCCTTCATGAGCACTACATGTCATCACAGTTGAGGACCTGAACCAGTGGTGCACATACCAAAGGACTTGGAACTTGGAAGTTCCACCTTTTTTGGGGGGAAATCTCCCAAGTGAACTAAGGTCCCAACAACTGCTACAGTCGGAACTTCAAGGCTTGAGACAGCGGCTGACAGGTGTGTTTGGATGTGTTCTCCACGTTTTTTTTTTCTGGTTGGGAACTACCCTCCTGTAGATTTGCATTGCAGGAAATCCATGAAAATTTATAGATCACTCAATCACTCTCGGGGAAACCATATATGCCTTCCTTATCTATGTGAGTTTGTCGGAGGGTGCAGTCCTTAAAACCAACATTTTGCCCCCGGGCTCTTTGTCCCAACAAATTCTACGCACCTGAAAATGGCGCTGGATGAGGTTTTGGATGTCATGATTCGGAATAATGTGGGAAAAACAATGTCAGAAACCATCCCCCAGTCATCACCATTTTTATAGGTGGTATGTTTACCATTCCCAGTCATGGGTGGTTTATGGCATTGTTTTACCCACATTAGTCTTCATTCTTGGCAACACGCTTTGGTTTTCATATCCACGAGATGTCTGGGGCTTATAAGGGGCTTATGCACCCATCTTCGATCAGAAAGATGGGACTTCATATACAAAGCAGCTTTGAATCGACACATCAGAACCCCGGAAGTCACAATTTTGTTGTGTCATTCAAGCTTTAAATCATTCCACTGATTGCAAGGTTTGAACATGTTTGACGTACATGTTCCATCCTACACTGTACCTGGCATGATGCAATGATGAACCCCATTCACTCACATTTGTTCAGCTTTTTTTGAATATTTATTTGGAGAATCATCCCACTGAATAACTACAATGTGAGGTCCCCGTTCGATATCTAAGTTGGTGATCATAACTCCAACAACTATGGTGTATGTTACTGATAGCTATAGTTACTAGGGCTTATAAACACACTTATAACTACCATCTGTTAAACGTTTACATAGCGAACTGGAAAATCACCATGTTTAAGTTGGGTAAATCCACTATTTCCATGGGCCATGGCTTCTATGGAACCGTGACCCGTGGGATAACCCTGGGATTATTTGTTGGGAATTTCATCCTCCCAAATGACTTTCAGTCCATCATTTTTCAGAGGGGTAGGTACCACCAACCAGATAAAAATACATGAGGTTCTTATAGTTATTTTTGAGGTTTATATATATATATACATGAATTTACATTTTTATACATAAGTATACAGGTTGTAAAACTTGTGGTTAACTAATAAACATGTATAATTAAGCCTCATATCTTCTTACCTGGGCGTGTAATATGGTTATTACGTCTTTTCGTTAAAAAACGCACTTACAGCATCCCATTTCTGAGGGTATACCCAAGATTTTAACCTTTGGGATACAACTAAATACTATAGTTTATTGGTATTTAAAGGGTTTATCTATGGTTAATAGTGGTTAATAGTGGTTAATCTATGGTTAATCTATGGTTTATCTATCCCATAGGATCCATGGTGCTGGTATATATATATGCTAACATGACTGGGGTATACTGATGGGATCCATGTTACCATATATAGCATACATGATCCGTCATGGGTTATAGTTATCCCATGATTATCCATGATGATTAATCCCACTATCCTCCTATTTTAATCCATATATTTTTCCAAGCAGGATATTTTGTTCATGGCTCACTCGCCACCTTTGGTGTGTTGCTGCCGCCATGGCAGTTCTATTTGACTGGCATCTTGATCCTCTGCAGCGTCTCCCTCCACGCAATGTACAAGTCTCGCGGCTCGCGAATTGTTGTGCTGTTGGCGCAGGCACAGAAATGGTAACAGATCAGGTACATGTATATACTCAATTCTATATATATAAATATATATATATATTGTATGTCTGAATCATCTATATAAATCTATGTCTACATTGTACAACTGACATATACTGTACAATATAGCATATATATAATCATATTTATGATATATATATAAAATTATATATTTAATTATATATATAATTATATATATATAATTATATATATATAATTATATATATGTGCACAAAATTAGCATAAACCCCTGGCTGAAATTGTCATTCTCTTTCATTGGCTTTGTCAAAAATCCTTCTGGTTTTGAGAGCCCTGCCCTGGGTGCCCTGGGTCGTTGAAGAAACCAGCTGTGCCAACAAAAATACGGCGAGTTTTTTCTCCAAGAAACCCATGGGGTCAACATGGGTTCACCAACAGAATTGGGGATTCAAAGAAGAAACATGTGGAGAGAACTATCAGAAATGGTGATGTAACCATGGATTTCACCATCAGATGAACCATCAACGATTCTTGCACATATTCGTGACTGGTAGGTTTGTATGGGTTAGGGTTGTCGCCGTTACCAGACACCGCTACAATAAACATTTCTTTTTTTTTGCCAGGTATGTCAGATCGAACATGTATGTGTTGTGTTTCCCGCATTTATTAGGATTGTCTCAAAGTTAGCTGACAAAGCCAGTACTGCTGGACAGTTGGATACTAACATCACCCAAACTTAGGGGAATGGATTATCATGGATAACTATAATAAACTGTGGTCATTAACCAATATAACCAAACTCATTCACCAAAACTATTGGTAGACTAACCAAGAGTGTCCAGGCGTAGGCCAATAGACCGACGACCGGGATGCCCCGAAGCGAACTGCTAAGCGAAATCGGACGTGCAAATGTGTGCTGCACTGCCAATACTCTGCCAATATGGTTTTTCAACATTTGGCATTAAGCTGATGGATAATGCAATAAAACTATGTCAATATGGTTATAAAGTTATAATCTATGGTTGAAACTATTGCTTAAATACTGGTTGGTGGTTTGGAACGTTATATTTTCCCATATATTGGGTATGTCATCAGCCCAACTGACGAACTCCATCATTTTTCAGAGGGGTAGATCAACCACCAACCAGCTATGGTTGAAACTAGATATTGAGACCTATATATTTATATATAACTACTATACATATCAACTATTGGTTTATGTGTTGATCCAGCTATGGTTGAAACTATTGGTTAAATTAACCATAGATTAACCATAGATTAACCATTATTAACCATTATTAACCACTATTAACCATAGATAAACCCTTTAAATACCAATAAACTCTGTAGGATCAACACATCACAATGAATCGCTCCGATTCATTCAGGACGAGTCGAGCAGCAGGATAATCTGAAAATTTTCCAAGACTAGTGGTTAATATTGGTTCATATTGGTTAATATTGGTTAAGAATTGTTAATACTTGTTAAGAATTGTTAATAATGGTTAATATTGGTTAATAGTGGTTAATAGTGTTTTATAGTGGTTAAGAATTGTTAATAATTGTTAATAATGGTTAAGAATTGTTAATAATGGTTAACAATTGGAACAATGTGGGTAAAACATTGTCATCTGCACCATTTTCCAGTCATCACCATTTTGATAGGTGGTATAGTATGTTTAGACATGCTTACCATTCCCAGGAAAATGGGTGCATTTTCATAGGTGCTATAGTATGCTTAGACATGTTTACCATTCCCAGGAAAATGGGTGCATTTGCATAGGTGCTATAGTATGCTTAGACATGTTTACCATTCCCAGGAAAATGGGTGCATTTGCATAGGTGCTATAGTATGCTTAGACATGTTTACCATTCCCAGGAAAATGGTTGGTAAAAATGGCATTCTTTTGCCCAGATTAATGGCTCACCTGTCCTAGCCGCCATAGCCTGGGTCCATCTCCCAGGTTGGGCATCTTGGGCCTCGAGTGAGAGGCGGCAGTGCCATCGAGTCGTCGGCAAAAAATGGAGAGCCTGGGCAGCGGTATGGAGAGCCTGGTGTGTTTCCAACTGCTGGTTTCTTTACCCTCTGGTGAACTAACATAGCTATTGAAAATGGCCATTTATAGTGGATTTTCCCATTAAGAATGGTGATTTTCCATTGCTATGTTAAATTACCAGAGGGTATCTTCCGGAAGGGCGGCATCCAGTTGCCGCTTGCGCTGTGGTTTCAAGGGATGTACACCACCAGTGATTGAGCGTACCCTTTGCGAATCAACCATGCTTTGCTGGAGAGTCATCAGCCCGCTTCCGATTTACACAGATTAACCTATATACATTTAAGCCACCTACCAGTCATGTTAGGATTTTTCCAGGTAACATGATGTAACTTACGTATTTGCGCGTGCACCAATCGAATTTGGGCCGAGGCCCAATAAAATTGGAGATGGGTAAGGTAAATCTCACAAAGCAGAAATGGGGGGTGCAGCCACCCATAATTGGGGATGCTTCTTTATTATAAAGTTTGATCAACCAGCAACAATGTTGTTTGTTCACAGCCTGACGTTGCCGATTGCATAATCCGTCTTGAAAATAGAACCGCTGGGCGGTAATCTAGATGAAGTATAGCTTCGAAATTGTAATTGCATGAAACAAGGAAAAACGGGTGATATGCTTTCTATTTAGGGATATTTGTGTGTGTGTGTGTCAGGTTTGGGTTTCATGTCCCAATTCTTGCCGGATAATACGTATATAATTACATATGTATATATATATATACACGTGTATATATCATTATATGTATATACACATGTTGTACCACAATCCACACTTCGCCTAGGGCCTCGTTATAAATCAACTTAGCTACAAAGTGGGGCACCACTTTGTTCAAAGCCTGGCGTCGGTTGATGATCACCCGTGAACTGGGCATGTTCCAACAACACTTCCAGGTTTTCATGGGGAGTCCCAGTTCAACAAAAAATATGGGAAAACCTGGGGAATATCATGAGTTAAATCTTCTTGAATTCCCCAGGTTTACCCAGATCAGTTCATTCTTTGGGTGGATCTTGCCATGATTTTGGTGATAAAATCCATGATTCTATGTGTTGAATCAGTGATCCTGAAGCTGCAAGACCCGGCCCTCATGTGGCAGCTTTGGCTTAACATCTCAAGCACAGGTTGCAACAGAAACAGGGCCAAAATGCAAACGAAAGGCCTTTGGTGTAATGTCATGATGTGAACAATGACACATGAAAGATCATGAGAGTCCATGAAAATAACATGAACATAATTTACTTACCTCAAACAGGGCATTTTCCAGCCACCAAAACCTACCAGAAAGGGAGTTAATTCACACGGAGTGGCGCGGTGAAGTGAACGGCCCGTCAAACTGCGCACGTCGATGTTAAACTTTACCATGATCAAAATGCTGGAATATAAATAAATATATATATATATATATGTATGCATACATACAGTACATACATAATAACTATACTTTACCATCATAAAGATTACATGCTCTACTATTATATATAATTATATATATATACATAAGTTGTAAAAAACTCCTGCAGTAAAACCCTACGTTCCATGTACATCATCTGACTCTTCCATAGCGTTGGTTCAAAAGTGCCAAGAGCTTACCGGTTGTTTAGGTCACCCCATTGTGATATTGTTGGCTGACCTGTTAAAATACAGGTTATCAGCCGTAGTCTCACCACTAAGCCATGGGGACCCCAGCCGACCTCTCACTCGCTATCCCAGGGTCAGGTCCACCCGTCACTGTACCAGACCCAGCCGGGAGTGATCCCGTGCCGATGGATGATGACACAATCTATCAGCCAGTGGTAGCTTACTTCACTTTCATACAAAACAGCATTGCACAGATCACCAGTGGTAACACGCTACAGGTAATGAGGGAAGCTGAACTAAGGCACCTTCAGATCATGCAAGGAGTTGTAGAGACTATCAAAAACATGTGGTCCACCAAGCTTGTCCAAAAGGAACAAGAGTATGAACAGAAGCTGCAAGAAGTAGAGTCAAAAGCTCTAGATGCGCTAGCTGAGGCGCGTAAGCGAGGTGACAAATTCGAGGTCAGGTTGAATCAGGCTCAGGCAGCACATGATGCCAAGGTTGAGGAAATTAAAGCAGAGGCAAATGCCAAGCACGACCTCAAAATTGAGGAAGAGCGGCAACCTATCACCAGAGACGTTGAAGCCTCGTGAGCACAGACTGTTGAACGTGCAAAGAATGCTGTAGCTTCGGCAAAGATACAGTATTACAGTATGATGATCAGATTGCTGTAGAGCAAGCCCTTTATGTTCAGTTTAAAGTGAATTTGAAAACTACACACGGGAAATTGAAACGTCAGACAGACTGAATGAAGCAGCAGCTCAGAATCTTAAACTTCAGGATCAAATAGATGATTTGCAAGAGCAGCTGAGTCACGTCGCCTAAGCGCGATCAGCCGCACCGGCAAGTGCATCCGTCCCGATTGCTAATCCAGCCACCAATACTGGTGTGCCAGTGTTCAACATTAGTATTCCAAGAGCGCACGAAGCATCCGCTAGTAAGGTCGATGGCGAGCCAATCGTCGAGATCAAGACGCCCGTAGTGTTGGCACAAGAGGCAAAGGCAAAGCTCGATGAGTTGCTTAAAGGAAGCACAGAAGCCGAGCCAGCTGTCGGTAACGACACACCTCAGCTGCCAATGCAACAATCCGGGTTCTATACTCCAACCGGGCCAATTAGAACACCCCCAATGATTCCCCGAAACGTGTTGGTAAGCAACAACAGATGATGGGAGCTTCAGATCTTATAGAGTTGGTGAAAGCCTTAACTCAAAGGGATGAAAAGGATAAGCCAAAGACTAAAGAAGCTGAAGTCATCAAGTTGAATAACATGCCAGCACCGGAGTCGTATCGAAACTGAAAAAACCATGTATAAGGGATGAAGTCAAGAGCTGTTCAGATCGTTCAGATGAAGCTTGGGCATGGTTGAACGAGGTGTACGACCAGTCTTGCACCCGTGACAAGCTCGAGGAAAATTCTCAAGATCCAGGTAAGTTTCTCACGCTGGACACAAAGCTATCAGCAGCGCTCACGCGCTCAGCCGGCGGAGATCTTGCTACTAGGATACTGAACTACAAAGAGCAGCAATCCTAAAAAGGTATCCAGGTTAGGGGTAGATATGTTTTGTTCATGTTTGAGGACCACTTCAAAACATCAGGAGCTCTAGAGAGTTGAAGATCTGTTGGGTGTCGCCAAAGTAGGTGACACTGTCCAGGACTTGAGAAGATTTGTCAACAAGCGGGATGCCAGGTTAGCAGGTATGATATGGCAACTACCCCCGAGGATGCTGTACTTAGAGACATCCTTTTAAGGCAGATCCGTCCAAGTCAGTTGCTGAAATATGACATTGAGGTTTTTGATCGTGCTAGCGAAAAGCCCTATGAGAAGTCATACGGTTTTCTCCATCAGTCCATGAAAAACCTGATTGGCAGGGAACGGCTCAGGGAAAACCGCAATCGCATTGCCGAGAAGAACAAGGCCAGTGTTCCGACGGAGACGAAAGCTGAGCCCGCCAAAGGTGATGGCCGTGGCAATCCCAATAGAAAGGGTTCCCTAGGTCGCGGGTAGGTCCCAAGACCGGAGCAAGGGTGACAAAGCTTGCTACAAGTTCCAAAAGGGTCAGTGTGACAAGGGGAAGAAGTGTCCATTCAAGCGTGTGAAAGCTGTGAAAGATGACAAAGCACGTACTCAATCACCCAACAAGAGGAACAGAACTCGCTCACCCTCAAAAGGTAAAAGTATGATAAGGGAAAAAGCATGTCAAACGAAGAAATGGCAAAGACCCCATGCATTTATCATGCCCAAGGCAAATGCAGACGTGGTGACAAGTGCTTTTACAAGCATGATGACAAAGCTAGCAGCCGCCACGAAGGATACAAAAAGGACAAGCTCCCCAGCTCCAAAGAAGAAGGGGAAGGACTCGAATGCCGCACCACGTCTGATCGGTCCCAATCCAAGTTTGCATGCATTGCGAAGAAACAGTCGAGGGCAACCTCGAGCCCTGAAGGGTCCAGTGTTAGCATGAAGCGTGTCCGATTCCGTAAGAATCCTCAGGTGTTCGAAGTGACTGCAGTCGGTCGTCAAGTCCCCGTAGACATCGCCCAAGAGAGTTCACAACTGTGTACAGAACATCCGATGACGTTTCTGTCTCGTCCAAGGTTGAACAGCATGAAGCGCAGGTGAGAGCTCGTCAGCCCCAGGAGACCGTGAAGCTTCATGATTCCGACATTGCACCAAGTTGTGGGTTTTGTTGTTGGAATGACCACACTGGTGACATCACGTGTCAAGAATGCAGATTTAATCAGCGGTCCCCAAGCACTTAGAGAAATTGGCCGGTTTCCCTCGATTGCCACAGCCGCGCCAAAGGCCGGTGTTAGCTGGTCGGTCGACTCAGGATAGTGAATCCGATCTCGTCTTCAAAGCCATGTTGAGCGATATCAACGCCCAGAACTGCAGAGCTGCCCAGCATCCGATCTCGCTGATAACAGCGAATGGCTGAACTGAAGCCAATGAGGTGGCAGATGTCAAGTTGTCTGCGCTTCCGGATCCTGTACAGCCATACGTGTTGAATCAGACCCCGGCTGTGCTTTCCGTCGGAACTATGTGTGTAGATCAGGGCTATAGCTTCGTGTGGCGGCAAGTGGTAAACCCATTCTTGTTCGTCCTGACGGAAAAGTCGTCCAACTCAAGGTTGAAGGTCATGTCCCAGTTTTGGATGACTCATGCAAAGTCTTCACAAAGGAACGGTTTCAGAAGGACGAGCATCTCAAGAAATTGTTCGCAATGCGCGGATGAAGACCAGCTGGACGAGCTCGTCTCAGATGATGCCTGCCATGAGTACCTCCGGAGAAGGAAGACGGAGGATCTCATTAGCGAAGCAGCCAGTGCTCAGCATCAGTTCACGCACTTTACAAAGTATCCT